GTGTGATAGAAGTGTTAGCGGGAAACGCTTTTAGCTTGTGGTGTTGGACGCAGTTCGGCGACGGGGCCACCTAAAAATGTCGAAACGAACCATCTGCTGTGATCATATTTATTTTGAAGTTGATTAGCTAGGTAACGGGTTTGGAAAAGCGTTTCTTCTTGCTTTAAATATTTTTCAGAACGTACTGGAGTTCGTAACTTACTATAATAACTTTTTTTTAGAGATTCAATTTATGGAATATTTGGGCAGAATAAGTTTTGTTTAGCCAACATCTGGTTTATTTGTATGTCAAATTAAAATCATGATAAGAAATCTATACGAACATGGCGCGGTTTTTATAAAAGCGAAAAAGAAACCATAACAAACCATAATTGATAAGAAGCGATTTACAAACACTAAAGTTATGGCATTTCCGATCAATCAGTTATATGGCGGCTATAGGATATAGTCGGCCGATCCTTATGAAATTTGGTATGTCGGATTCATTGGCCAAATATAAAACCCATAAAAAAAAACCAACTTCCTAACTTTAAAAACACCAAAGTTATGGCATTTCCGATCGTTCAGTTATATGGCAGCTATATATATATAGTCGCCCGATCCGGCTCGTTCCGACTTATATACTACCTGCAATAGAAAGACAACTTTTGGGAAAGTTTCAAGCAGATAGCTTTTAAACTGAGGGACTAGTTTGCGTAGAAACGGACGGACGGACGGACGGACGGACAGACGGACAGACGGACAGACGGACAGACGGACAGACGGACGGACAGACGGACATGGCTAAATCGACTCTCATGGTGACGCTGATCAAGAATATATATACTTTATAGGGTCGGAAATGTCTTCTTCACTGCGTTGCAAACTTTTGACTGAAATTATAATACCCTCCAAGGGTATAAAAATTGAAGAAAATCGGTTCAGTAGTTTTTAGCCAATCCATATCACCGCAGTCATTTTTCAAAAACACCATTTCGAGATATTCGCGTTTAAAGTTTTACGTTTGGGTTTGGGCGGGGACAAGGCGCGCGGCTAAGAGCGTTGTAACTTTCTTTCTACTGCTCAAATCTCTATGAAAATTTGGGGAAATGCTCTCAAGAAGTTGTTTTTCAAAATACAAGCGATACAAAATGTTCGATTTTTTGAAAATAAACAAGAAAGGAAAGCTAACTAAAAAATTATAACTTTGTTGTTTTTAATTTTTCTTTGTTCTTTGGGATTTGGTAATATTTAAATATTATGGAATTACGGTTTTAATTAAATTAAAATTGGATAACAATAGCATATAGCTGGCATTGTCCGTCCGATTCTGGAGTATGGGTCTCCCGTCTGGAGTCCACAATACGGAATACATATTGGTCGTAAAAAAACTTCCTTCTTTTTGCTTTACGGCGCCTAAACTGGGATGTAAATCTTATCTTACCTTCTTATTCTAGTAGACTTCTTTTGATTAATTTACCATCCCTAGCCAACCGTAGAACGATGCTTGATACTATCTTTATTTATAACCTTATACATGGTGATATTGACTGCCCCGACTTGTTAAGTCGGCTAAACTTTTCTGTGCCAAGTAGATTAACTAGAAATTATATTCCCCTAATTTTAAATCATTGTAGATCTAAGTATGCCTTGCATGAGCCTTTCAGAGTATTATGTTCTGACTATAATAGACTTTTTCCTGTAATATCAAATCTTGACTCTCTGCCGCTCCTAAAGCGATTAATACTTGCTTCATTGGCACAAGATTGATCTAACTATTACTTTTTTCCCCGGACCTTTACCTTTATTTTCCTATCTCGCGTCTATCTTATCGCGAATTGTGCCGTACGATACACGGCTGCGCCCCTCGGTCGGTTGGGCGGGTAAGTGAACCGTGGGACTCCGCGCGAAAAAAAAAAAAAAAAAGTAACGATGGCAAAATGCAGTGCAAAATCGACATATCTTCATTGTGTTTAATAATATAGACATTGAAATCGAAATGTAGTCGATTTGTAACAACTGCAAGGGTATATAAACTTCGTCTTGCCGAAGTTTGCTTCCTTTCTTGTTTGATTTAAGAGTACTTTTTGAAACAATTTTTAATTGATTGATGTTCATTTGGTGAAACTAATGATATGCTGTATTTAAGCCAATTAATACTATTACAGTAATTAACAAATAAAAAAAAATTGTTTTGTTCTAAAGCTCTAATGTTTTAATAAACATTTTTAAGGTCATATGTAAATGAATTCACATGGTGTGGGTCTGTGAAAATGTTCAAGATAAATGCACAAATATAAATCTGTCTTCATGACAACACAACCAAATATTTCCCAGCGGTTTTTTGGCTCAGCACTATCCAATTTTATTTTATACATTAGACGATTTATTTAGTTTAGAAACAGAAGCAAACACATATTTTGAGTTAACAATTTTTTAACAATATGATACTGTCGTCCGATTTCGTTAAAACTAAAACCGTAATTCTCAAATTGCTAAAAAATATAATATCTTGGAATATATGGATAGATGTTTTTCACTTCATCTAAAAATATGTTAACAGAAAAAGGCTTTTAATCGGGGGACTAGTTTACGTAGAAACGAAAAGACCCTCTGCAAGGTTATTCAAATAATAATAACAAATTCTCAAAATGTTGCCATGCCCACTCTAACGCCAACAAATCACAAAACACTTTAGATACTCCGTTCTTGAAATATGCCAAAGCTGGCACTAAAATCTATAAACATTGTAAACATTTTCCGAATCGCACCATTACTTTACAAGTTATAGAATACTTTATGTGAAAATTATGACGTCATTGCATATTTCGACTAATTGAGAGAGCGGAAGAAAGCGGGAAAACAGGTAGCGGAGGGCGGCGGTGCTGCTTGCTCTCAGCTTGTGGTGTTGGCCATGCAATGGAGCAGATGTCCCTTTCTAAAATTGAAATATTTTGTAAGCTGAGTAACGTTTATAACGTTTCTCCTTGTTTTGTTTTTAAAAAGTTCTGGGCAACTATAGTTAATACCTCCTCTTCACTGTAAATGTTATATTTTATGCTAGCATTATTTATTACATTGTTTCCAATTCCGTTCATAAACACTTTACTCGCTGAGTAAACGGGTATATTGCATTTGTTAAAAAGTATGTAACGGGTAGAAGGAAGCGTTTCCGACCCTTTAATGTACATATGTTCTTGGAAAATAGAGATCTAGCAAGCAGAATTTAGTTTAGTCAATATCTATTGCTCCATTATATAAGAATTTATTAACAATTTTAGGTGTTAATTATACATATTACATATTCAAGAACATTTATTTGTGAGTGTGATAGAAGTGTTAGCGGGAAACGCTTTTAGCTTGTGGTGTTGGACGCAGTTCGGCAGACGGGGCCACCTAAAAATGTCGAAACGAACCATCTGCTGTGATCATATTTATTTTGAAGTTGATTAGCTAGGTAACGGGTTTGGAAAAGCGTTTCTTCTTGCTTTAAATATTTTTCAGAACGTACTGGAGTTCGTAACTTACGATAATAACTTTTTTTTAGATTTACAAAATTTCACGATATTTGAAACGAAAAATAAAAAATGAATGGGAATTATATTCAACAAGAAAGGAAAGCTAACTTCGGGCGGAGCCGAAGTTGATATACCCTTTCAGAATATTCTATAAATTATATTCTCCAAAATTATTCATATGATGCATTCTTAATACTCATAAAAAGCCCAACAAAACAAAACTTAAAACAACAAAGTTTTAATTCCGATCGTTCAGTTATTTGGGAGCTATATGATATTGTCGCCCGATCCGGCTCGTTCCGACTTATACACTACCTGCAATAGAAAGACAACTTTTGTGAAAGTTTCAAGCCTTAAAACTGAGGTACTAGTTTTCGTGCTTTTATTTAAGTACTATTGAATTATGGTTTTTAATAAATTAAAATCGGACATTTATATAAAATTATATAGGAAAAAATTGTTTTTTGTCTATTTATCAAAATTTGTTTTTGATATATAGTAATTATTCATTAGTTTTGTCAAAATCGGACAACAATATCATATAGATGCCATAGAAACGATAGCAAAAACAGCGCAAAATCGACAAGCTTTGTTATACCCTTACTCGTAATAAAACCGTAAATATTATATTCGTACAAAAGTATGTCCAACAGAACAAAAAAAAGGAAGCGTTCCGACCCAAAAGTTATATATTCTGATCAGGGTCACTATCCGGGCTATATAGATATTGTCCGTCTGATCCGTCTCGTTCCGTCTGATCCGCTGTCCGTCAATAGACTTTCTGAAAGTTTGCAAGCCTTAAAACTGAGGTACTAGTTTTCGTAGATTTCAAGATATCTGCTTAAAACTTTCCCAAAAGTTGTGTTTTTATTGCAGGCGTATCATTAAGCTCCCATAGGAAAAAAAAAAAAATATTTTTTAAGAATAACTTTGTTGCTTTTAATTTGTCTATTTGTTCTTCGGGATTTGCTTTTATTTAAGTACTATTGAATTATGGTTTTTAATAAATTAAAATCGGACATTTATATAAAATTATATAGGAAAAAATTGTTTTTTGTCTATTTATCAAAATTTGTTTTTAATATATAGTAATTATTTATTAGTTTTGTCAAAATCGGACAACAATATCATATAGATGCCATAGAAACGATAGAAAAATGCAGCGCAAAATTGACATAGCTTCATTGTTTTTAATAATATAGGCATAGAAATCGAAATATAGTAGGCTTGTAACAACTGCAAGGCTATATAAAATTCTTATTTTCTTATATATTTGTTGAACACGCCACACAAGGATGGACCCTGTTTTCGTGTATTGTCAAATGAATTACGTATAAAGATTCCAAAAAAGCGGTTTGCGGGTGCTCCATTCTTGTCCAAATCAGGCGTGGCTATAGCCGGTCATAAATTAATCGGGATGTGTGGTCATAGGAGAGCTATTTTTATAAAAATATTAAAAAAAACAACTTTATTTTCATGATTACTTTTTTTGATTACTTTCAGCATAAGCGAAATTTCTCTATGGCTAAAGAGGAAACCCAGGAATAATAACAATTATGGAATAATCAAATAAAAATATAAGACGATCCATATAAATTAAACTCAAGGCTACGCAACGCTATTCGAAACTTTGAATGAGCCAAATCGAAGAAAAGTTCACAGGCGTTAAAAATAAAGTCTTAAAAACCACTTAATACAACTTTGGTTAAGTTTCGTGCGACAAGCTTATCCTACAGTTTGCAACTTTGCGAATATGTTGCTGGGACGTTTAGGAGAGGGTATACGTATACCCAAGCCGAAAAGAGTGCAATTAAGCGCTCCCGTATCCGTATCACTAGTGCTTCTGCTATGTTTGTCTCTTGTTGGTCACACCAGTGCCCAAGTTGGTAAGTCCGAACGATTGTAAATAAAGAAATACCACAACCTAATTGTATACAAAAATCTAATTGGGGAACAGAAGGGCGTTACAATCTCCTTACTGGAACGTCCATCTGCCAACATACAAAACATGAGTGACTTCGAGTAAAAGGAGTTTTCATTCAGGGGGAGTTTATATTTTTTTAAGGGTTAATATACCCGTGCAGCTAATAAATATAAACCATTCTATATTTCGATTTTTATGCGTATATTTTTTTAAAAAATAAAGTTTTTTCGATTTTCCGATCAATTTTTTGATGGTTCCTATATGATATAATCGTCCGATCCGGCCAGTTTCGAATTATATACTAACGGCAACAGAAAAAAATTTTTAGCAAAATTTCGGACGGACAGAAGGTGATGCTGATCAAGAATATATATACTTTATAGGGTCTTAAATATAGTTCTTTAAGCAATTTCAAAAATAAAACCGTTTTTTTTATAAAAAAGAATATATACTTTATTGGGTCAGAAATTTCGCTTCACTGCGTTTTAAACTTTTGACTGAAATCGGGTTACCGGAACTAGAAAAAAGGAAATATTGGCAAAAAAAAATTATTCCTTAAAAAAAATTGTGATTCTAAAAAGAGTTTAGTGTCATCTTCTATATCTGGAAGTCCAACTGCACTGAAAAACCAAGATGTGAAGTCATGCGTATCTTTATAAAGTAATGCTTAGAACGCTAGAAGTAATAACGCCAAAATTATTTTAATTTATTAAGACATTAAAAAATTTCACAAACAAAGCCGAAAGAAAACAAGAAGATTTTTAGATAAATTTGTGATAATGGCTAATTAAAACAAATTACAATTTTGATAAAGTCATTTCTTACACTTTCAAAAGTTCTGGCATAGTCTTAAACGAGAAAAGAAACCCCCGTTAAGCCGAAGCAGCTTGAATTTTGGACTTTAAATATTATTTTCAGACTTGTGTAACATTTCCATTTTTTTATTTGGTTAAATAAAAAATTTTTTATTTCAAAGGCACCATTAATTTTTTGTTTTCTTTAACTTTATTAAAGATATTTTAATTTTAAATGAAAAACATGAAAGGAAATATTACCAATTCCCAAAGAATAAAAAAAAATAAATTAAAAACAACAAAGTTATAATTTTTTTTTGCATTTTTTCCAAATGTTCCTATAGGAGCTATATGATATAGTCGCCCGATCCGGCGCGTTCCGACTTATATACATACTACCTGCAATAGAAATACAACTTTTGGGAATGTTTCAAGCAGATAGCTTTACTACTGAGGGACTAGTTTGCGTGAAAACGGACAAACGGACAGACGGACGAACAGACGGACATGGCTAGATCGACTCTCCTGGTGATGCTGATCAAGAATATATACACTTTATAGTGTCGAAAATGTCTCCTTCACAGCGTTGCAAGCTTTTGACTGCCTAATTTTCTTTATCCAATGAAATTTTGGGCTTTCTCCACACCTGCTGACGGCCATCGTATCGAAAAATATTAAATTTTCTTTCGTCGGAAAACAAGACCTGATTCAATTGGCTTGCCCTAAAAGTCCATGGCTTTTGTTTTTTATTGACCTCTAAGATCAATGGCTTTCATCTAGCTGTACGATTGTGGTAGTTGGCTTCGTGCAGGGCTTCGTGGACTTCCCAAACTCATTCATAACCTCTGCAGCAATCTGGGAAGAGTTTATTTTCGGAACCACCTTCTCTTTTCGAATCACTTGGCTGCGTTCCCGGTCAGTCAAAATCATCGCCCGTCCAGATCAGGGTGTATTCGCCAAACTGGAAGCTCCCTTAAATCGTTGCACGATGATTCGGATGGAAAATCGGCTCATTTCCATTATGTTGGCGATTTCTCCATAGTATTTTCCTTCGTAGACGAGATGCAGGACAATTTTTCTTTGAGCTTCGTTGGATTCCTTGCGATTAATGTCCATTTTTCAAAAATTCAAAAAAAATGCATATAAAAAAAACCCAACACACCAAACTTTCTTTGAAACTTTGATCACATGTTTTTTAACGGGAAGCTTGTTATATATTTTATAAAAAAGGAGGACCAGATCCGTATTAATATAGAAATAATTAAGAAATATATTTTAACTGTGCCAAGACTTTTGTGACACGAAATAGGTTCCTTTTCATTTAAAATTAAAAAAGCTTAAAAAACGTTAATAGAAGAATTAATAGTGCCTTTCAAATAATTGTTTAGTTCAGCGTTACCACTTACGTACCGAGCTACTCTGGCAACGCTACAATACTTCACGAAACTACGCTAATTAAGCCTAGTATTCAGATCGACAAACGAGTATGCTAGCGTAAAAACTTTAATCTTTCCAGTGTGACCAAAGTTTCGAGAGTTCATCAGATTTAAGCGTGCTACGGTCGTACTGTCAATCAGCTGGGTTTGTAGACAAACAGTTAAAATTCAAATATCGTATTTGCGGGATAGGGCCTTTAAAAGATATTAAGCCTAGTATCCAGATCGACAAACGATTACGCTAGCGTAAAAACTTTAATCTTTTTATCAGATTTAAACGTGCTACGGTTGTACTGTCAATCAGCTGGGTTTGTTGACAAGCAGTTAAAATTCAAATATCGTATTTGCGGGAAAGAGCCTTTAAAAGGTATTTGAGTTTTTCCCTCCATTTCTTATAATGTTCAGTGAGAAGCGCACGCCAAAAGATTAAATTTTTTAATCTTTTCGCTAGGGTTCACCCAAAACTCATTTCCGCAGACTGGCAACGCTATGGAATTTTCTGGTATTGTTTTCGTCGATCAGGGGACCGACGTGAAAAAAAGGCCCGACGAAAAGTGAACACCAGCTGTTTGCCTCTCGCTCTCTCTCATGACTGGCGTACGGTTTTCGTCGATCTGGATACTAGGCTGATTAGTCAACTTTCTTTTGCAATCAAATATATGAAATGGTGTTTATGCACAAACTTTGCCACCATTTTATGAAATTACTGTTTGCTTGCAAGTTTGCAGCAACAGACTACGCTTCTGACTTTATGCTTTACCGCGTGATTACAATTGCTGGCGCCATCTGCTTTAGGCATATGTGTTTTGAAATTGGTGAACAGTGTAACAGGTATCTAATAGTCGGGGCATTCAACTATTTCGTTTCTTTTTTTTTTGCAACACTTGTTGCTTCCGTTTTCTTTTTCTGCTTTTCTCCACATTCATGGGAAATGCATCTGCGGAATGCTTTCTGCTGAAAAAACATTTCCCACCTTTGTTTAGTAGCTGACCATAGAATACCATGGTTGGTTGCCTGAGAAAGAGAAATTTTATGAGGGCCCTATTGCACCTGTGGAAAGGGCGTAACGCAATTTTAATTCTTTTTGGGATCTCAAGCTTATTTATCGTGTTATGGTGGAACCAAGAAATATATATATATATATGTTACTGCAAAAAATAGCTTCTTTATGCAGTTTTAAAAGGGACGGCTCGACAGTCTGACTTGGCCAGACCGATTCTTTTGGTCATGCTGATTTGAAATAAATGTACTTCCTAGGTTCTGTAATGTCTTCTTAACAGCGTTGCAAACAGCAAGGGCTAATTAATTTGTAAGAAAATGTCCAATTAATTTAAAGGGAATTTAAAAATTATTTTTCGCTTAATTTGGTTTGACAAAATGTCTAGTCAAAAGAATATTAAAATTTTCAGGGTAATATATATTTATATATACTATATATAATATTATTATACCCTTGCAGAGGGTATTATAATTTCAGTCAAAAGTTTGCAACGCAATGAAGGAGACATTGCCGACCATATAAAGTATATACATTCTTGATCAGCATCACCAGGAGAGTCAAGAGTCGAGAGTCGAGAGTCGAGAGTCTGTCCGTTTCTACGGAAATTAGTCCCTCAGTTTCAAAGCTATCTGCTTGAAACTTTTCCAAAAGTTGTCTTTCTATTGCAGGTAGTATATAAGTCGAAACGAGCCATATCGGGCGACTATATCATATAGCTCCCATATGAACAATCGGAAAAAAATTTTAGAAAATTATAACTTTGTTGTTTTCAATTTTTTGGTTTTGTTCTTTGGGATTTGGTAATATTTAACTATTATGGAACTACGGTTTTAATTAAATTTAAATCGGAAAACAATATCATATAGATACCATAGAAACGATAGCAAAATGCAGCTCAAAGTCGACACAGCTTCATTGTTTTTCGTAATAAGGCATAAAAATCGAAATGTAGTCGATTTGTAATTACTTTCTTTTTTTTATATATACAAATAATATCATAGTTCAATCTAGTGTGAAGGTTGATGTTATCAAGAGCAATATCTACAAATCATAGAGTAAGAATCTATGTAGAGGTAATGAAACCTCTGCCAAGCCTCTTCTGAGAGCCATGTTCGATGCTGACTTTGGTTTCTGACCAAATCTAACATATCCGAAGCACCAGCAATAGTTTTCGCACCAGCCCTTAACAATAAGAGCGACCAGTGAGGCAATAAGTATTTTTCACGGGCATAGGGTTAGAATAAGTGTAGGCTAGAAATTATACGTCGATCATTTCAAATATTTGGAATCACAGCATATTCCTTTTATGACAAAATTGTTAAGTAAGAGAAACTCCATAAGATACTACTTTATCTGGAAACCAATGCATTTAACCAAACATGGGCCTCACCTGGACAATAACAATTCAGCGGTCCAGTTTCGCCTAAGCGATGATGTGACGCAGACCTTGAACTTTATCTATGGGAAAAAATCAGGCAGTGGTCAACCCACTTTTTTTGCGGAAGCTTCAAGCTCACTCAGTGGAAGAAACAGCCATTTTAAATCTAGGAAGTTGCAAAAAAGCGTTGATCATATCTTTTCCGGTCGGTACGTAACCAGCATGTCGTTATCCGCCCCCTTCAAGGTCTGCAAGCGTTTTCTAAAGCCGAAAGTAGCAAGAACACTTAATTCTCGGTTCATCGCCGAACAGATTGTTCGAAAATTGAGTGGCAATCTAGTTCTGAATAACATTGTTTTATTTATTACGCCCATGTCCACGCCGGACCATCCCAAACGCCATAAGCTGCACAGCTACTGCCGAGACAACCAACAGCATCTTGGAACAACTACGCTGACCAACGAGGAGTTAGAGCTCATTAAACGCTATCACAGGAAGGACAACTACACGATTGTCTATTGTACACGGCACATTGAACTAGAGGAGGCTGCTAGAAACACCTCCATCAAAGCTCACATTTTTGAGACAGTTGAGAAACATTCTCAGGCTGGACGTCATACTTGGTATCAGGATAGTGCCATAAGTCTTTCAAACCAATTCGGTAATTTAGTGCCCTTGGCCGTCAGTCCGACAAGAGACTTAGCTGGCTTTCAATCTCTGGAACAGCCCAAGATTCCAGATCGCTTGCAACACCACTTAGGAAGCGATGCAAAAAATCCCAAACGAATGACTAGCGATGTTGAAAACAAATTCAGCACAGGCCTAATTCAATTGTTTAAAATCACGATGCAAGAGCGAGGTGTTGCCCTCTGTAAGGATCATCGGAAGGGAAATCACCAATGTAATAGGACAGTAGGGACCATTAAAGAGAGGTGTACGCGCGAGGCTAAAGGAAGACTAAAGTCGAATGTCACTGGTATAAATAAATATTTTCCTGCTCCAATGCCGACCATGCTTTCGAATTTGTTCTGTTACGGCTACGTCACCTTTAAACAGTATAAAAAGTATGGAGTAAATGAGCACGCTAAGACAAAGGATTCATCTGATCAGACCCAACGGAAAATCATTCGGTCTAAGAAAAGAGCCGACCCTCTTCAGATTAAAAAGCTGAGAAGTACTTCGAGTGGGTCTACACGTTGCGCAGTGATAAGCATTCTTAAAGCCACAAGCCCCTCTGAAAGGAATATGAATGAAATGCCATCGGTTGTAAACGCTCACCTTTCTGCTCGAAAACTTTGTCTTCAAGACCCCTGTAAAACCAAAATCAGTCCAGCCCCTTTGGACAGCAGCGAGGAGATGGCCCTTCCAAAGACAGTTCGATTTGCCGACTTCATAAAACTAACGGTCAGGAAAGGTGTACGGAGGAGAGACCCCCACGGTAAGCACGCCTTTGGTGTCGGTGGGGTCTCTAGTCAGGACGACAATGGAGTGCAAATGTTAAGAAAGCCGACAGAACTCCGGGACTCGGTGGGTCACGTCCCACTGCCATCAATGATCCCAAGCATTGCATCTCTGGACTCGATAATCCATAAGTCCTCAACGTCCTTTGCTAGTTTGATGGGTCCTGCTCTGTTTCCGGCAAATTACTCGCTCGGTGCATGCCTTCAGCTGGAACGAAAGCTGCGCAGCCTCAGCGTGAAGCAGGCTTTCTGCAAGTTCGGCCGTCTGGTGGAGCTGATTAATGAGCAAATCTGCCCTCGGCAAGAGCATTTGCTTGCTTTTTTTCAATTTGCTGAGATTCTAGACTTCAAAATGTTTGTGAGGCGTGAGTACACCTTCATGGGCTGTCCTACGACCACGGAACCGCGCTATCGGATTGAATGCTACGTTTTCGATGATCGTCGCGACTACTTGGCATCGATTGCCCTACTTTGCCGTCAGCTGCATAAGTTTGCGGAACTTTGCCCCAAAGCAACTGGTAACTTTCGCTTTCTTGATAGCGCCTTTGAGCTGACTCACATACCCTCTGTGCTGACCGGATGGTTAAAATCGGCTCTGAATGCAATTCATGCTCGACCGCTCTACGACCTTCTGGGGGAACTAACCTATGAGTGGGTTCAACCGCCACTTACTCTGTTGGCTCTCACTAGTGATAACAAGCAGCAAAACTATTAAAAACTTCAGTCAAAAAATGTCACACAAAATATTATTAAACTGTTAATATACATAATTTCTTAAGTTAAGTTTGCTCTACACCTGGGCTTTTATAATAATAATTTGTTTAATAAAAAATAATATTTAAACTTAGTTTTATTATAATAGATTTAAGAAACTATTATCATTAGTTTTATATTCATTTCTCGGAAAAAAATCCTTAAATTTGTATTTTTATTTTTTTAGTGTTCGTGGAGGTCAAAGTACTTCATTTTTTGTTCTGAATTACATTCACAATTTTCGTTTCCACCATCAATTTTTTCGATTTGTCTCCTTCAGTGCGTGGCAAACGTTTGACTGAAATTATAATACCCTCTGCAAGGGTATAAAAGGATTAAAACAACAGTATACGTATTTTTGCTAAAATTTTAAACCAAAGAATATTTGTATATCCTTGCAGAGGGTATTATAATTCCAGCCAAAAGTTTGAAACGCAGTGAAGGAGACATTTCGACCCTATAAAGTATATATATATAGTATAAAACCTTGTGGTGAAAATGACCCACAAACTAGTTAAAATTTCTGACCTATTTTATAGTACCTTCGCAAGATTTAAAAAATGATTATAACAAGATTCCAGCAGATGGGCATACCTAGATCCTATATTTAAGCTTTGTGTAATGCACAATTACCTAAAATAAAACTATACAACAATAAATACTTTTAAATAAATACATTCTCATGTCAAAATTATCCGTTTTTCCCATTTATTTTCAGATACCACTATTAGTGAACAAGAAAGTCATTCAGTTTTTCTACCGTGTCCCGTTAATGTGGACAAGTGCGGAAAACTGCACTCACTAAATTGGTTTAAGGGCGATGATCGCATTGCTGCAATGCTCTTGGGAGACAATAATGTGACAAGCGTTAATAAAGAATTTGAAGAAAGGTAAGAAGAGATCATATCAAACTAATGGAAAATTAAATGTTTTTTCGTTCATAGAGTAACTGTTGAGCAAAACCCATACAGGCTAGTTATTAAGGACTTGAAAATTGGTGATGAAGATATTTATCTATGTGATACTACATTTTTTATACCAGAAGAAACGTGTGATAACTTCAATGGATATCGAATCGAGTTGAGGGTCTTAGGTAAATTAACCAAATAATAATAACTATATTTTTTTTAATATTATTTATTGCAACCATCAGCTTCTTACTTGTAAAGTATTATATTCACATGGTTCATTCTCTAGAGCAAATAGGCAACCTCAAAAAAATGTCAACATTTTTATACCCTTGCAGAGGATATTATAATTTCAGTCAAAAGTTTGCAACGCAGTGAATGAGACATTTCCGACCCTATAAAGTATATATATTCTTGATCAGCATCACCAGGAGAGTCGATCTAGCCATGTCCGTCTGTCCGTCCGTCTGTCCGTCTATTCGTCTGTCCGTCCGTTTCTACGCAAACTAGTCCCTCAGTTTTAAAGCTATCTGCTTGAAACTTTCCCTAAAGTTGTCTTTCTATTGCAGGTAGTATATAAGTCGGAACGAGCCGGATCGGGCCACTATATCATATAGCTGCCATATAACTGAACGATCGGAAATGCCATAACTTTGGTGTTTTTAAAGTTAGGAAGTTGGGATTTTTTGAATAACCGATCCGATTTTGGCGAATATAATGTACATAATAATCTGCAAGGGTATATCAACTTCGGCTCCGCCCGAAGTTAGCTTTCCTTTCTTGTTTGTAATTGTATACATATACATATACGTAAAAGTCTTGGCCATAGCTATGGCTATGCATAGCTGCCCGGAAAGGGGCCTTTCATAGGTGATTTATGACCTTTTTTATTTCATGTGTTTTGACATTTTCAAGTTTTGACCTTAAATACACCCTAGCAGACAGAATTTCAGACAAAAGTTTGCAACGCAAGAAGAAGCCACTTCATACCCGATAACGTAAAAACATTGTTGATCAGCATTACGAGGAGAGTCCATCTAGGCATGTCCGTCCCTCTGCCCGTTTCAGGCAACAATTCTCTTAGTTTTTTATATGGATGAAACTTTCCCAAAAGTCTCTTTCATTGCAGGTAGTATATATGTCCGAACAGGCCGCATCGGATGACTATATCATATATCTACCATTGGAAAAATCGAAAAAAAAACTCCACAATCTGTGATCAACATAATCACTGTTCACTGATAGATTTCCTACAATAGTTGTGGAGATCGCATGTCATGGTCACTAATCACAATTTATATAAAGTATATATATTCTTGATCAGCATCACCAGGAGAGTGCGTCCGTTTCTACGCAAACTAGTCCATCAGCTTTAAAGCTATCTGCTTAAAACTTTCTCAAAAGTTGTCTTTCTATCATTTAGCTCTCATAGGAACAATCGAAAAAAAATTTTTTAAGTATAACTTTGCTGTTTTTAATTTTATTTTGTATTCTTTGGGATTTGATGATATTTAAATACTATGAAATTACGGTTTTAATTAAATGAAAATCGACAATCTATATCATATAGCAGAACAACGTAGCAGATTTTTAACTATGTGTCGAGACATAGTTTTTTTCAATATATTGTTTATTTTGTTTTATAGCTTGTAAGTGTTAGACCTTACTTAATATATATATATTATTTTTTTTCATTTAAAACTTCAAGCGTTTCACACATTTGAAGCCAATAAAGTTAAAATTTGTATAGATTTGCAACCCTTCATGAAGCAGTTCTGAAATCTTACTTTTTACACGCATAGGCATTAAAAAATGTTCAAAAATACATATGTAATAAATGTTTGTTGAGGTGGTCTTACTTCCGTTCTAGAGAATGAATTTTATTTAATTTTTTTTATACTTTAGTTTTATTATCAGCTTACTTTTAATGTTAGCACAATGAAAATTTATTATTCCTTACAATAAAAAAATGCATGCTCTATTTTTAAGCTGTAATTTAAATATGTACTGTAATATACATGTGTACTGGATAACCAAGTAATACTTTTAAAGCTTACTATTATATTTACATGTCTGCTTATTTGATTTAGGTCGGGAATTAACACCGAAACCGTTCGGTTTCGCCCAACCCTTTTTTCAAAACTCTATTTTTATACCCTTGTAAATGGTATTATAATTTTAGTCAAAAGTTTGCAACGCAGTGAAGGAGAATTTTCAGACCCTATAAAGTATAAATATTCTTGATCAACATCATCAGGGGAGTCGATCTAGCGATCTAGAGTCCGTCCGTCCGTTTGTTCGTCCGCCTCGTCTGTCCGTCCGTTTCTACACAAGCTGGTCTCGCAGACTTAAAGCTATTTCCTTGAAACTTTCCATGTCTTTTTTATTGCAGGTAGTACATCTGTCAGAATGAGCCGAATCGGGCGACTATATCATATAGCTCCCAAAGGAACAATCGGGAAAAAACAATTTTAAAAGGAATAACTTTGCTGTTTTTAATTTTTGTGTTGTTCTTTTGGATTTGGTAATATTTAAATTTAATACGGAATTGCGGTTTTAAATAAAATAAAATCCGAAATCTATAGTATATCATATACTACACTTTGATTTCTATGCCTATACAGTAGAACCCCGTTTATCCGAGGTAATGTGGAGAAGGGTGCCGCGGATAATCGAAAATTCGGACAGCAAGGAAGACATAAGGATTAAAAAAAATTCAATTATTTCTACGTATTTTGAAAGGTGAAATCAAGTTTAGTCGTAGGAGGTATACAAAATGGGAAATGTATTGACATAGTCTAATATTTAGTATACAAAACATGGCTGAATATAAAGGGCAGGTCACTGCTGAGGTTTAAGAAAATCTGTAATTCAGTAACCCGGATAACGCAAAGGGCCGGTATTACAAAAAACAATGAAACTATGTCCATTGGGCGCTGCATTTTGCCATCGTTTCTATGGCAGCTATATGATATTGTTGTCCGATTTTAATTTTATTAAAACCGTAATTCCATATTATTAAAATATTTCCAAATCCCAAAGAGGCCGTTAAAGTGTGCGCACGAGAAAATTGGATTTATCTGTTTATTTTCATCCGTCTTATGCACTTTGCAGTAAGGATGATAGGTTTTAAACTTTAAGTGTTATACGGTTTTTTGACTTTAAAGCTACCTTTAGCTAACTAACTACTTACTTTTATATAGAAGTGGCTTTGTATTTATTAAAGAATTTGACGTTTACGAGGCTTATGTGTACTAGACTGATAATTTGTTTTGTAATTTGTATTCATCCCAGGCTGTAATTTCCAACTTGGTTAGAGCAATCTGTTTTAAAACCAAATTATTATATTATCATTCAATGTACCTTTGACTCCCAACCTCCTTACCGTTAACCATTCTCTTTCTCTTTCTTTTATATTTACACGCGTCAAAACTCATAAAAATATTAATCCAAACTAATTTACTTCTTAAACAAAATACCACAAACTGTATCAAACCGATCGTCAACATCGACTTGGAAACTCCTTGTAATTCGTATAACCCATAACTACATATTATTAACTGAAATTTAAACAAATTGCTCGAAATATATGAAAATCACCAAAATAACAAATATCTCATTTCTGAACCACAATTAATTTTCTTATTTTATATTCAATTGCGAATTTCTAAAACCAAAACTTCATATGGACTCGAATTGCACCCCATTTAAATTGTGATAATTTATTTTATCTTTCTGGTATAAATAAAATATCTACGTGATAAAAACGTAGAAAATATTGGTAAATAAATTTCATAGCTAACCAATATATATATATATATATATATTGGGTGTGTTTAGTTTTAAACTTTCATAAAGCAAATAATCTTAGTGAACTAATTGAGACAAAATAAATAGTTCAATTAAATTATTAATATCTCTTACAAAATTTTTATTTAAGTCTTGAATTTGTTGTTTCTAATTTATTTTACTTTAAACAACAAATAAATCGTTAGTATTAATAGTTTTAGTTTATTTTAAACTATATTTCTTAAACAATTTTGTTATTTGTATTCAACACAAAATCATTTATTATACTTTTTATTAAACATTTCTACCCTCTAAAAATTAAACGGCACTTACATACAAACAACACAAACCGACCAACTTTCTTATATATGCCGGATCTTAAACACACACGTATTTAGTGCCACCCACTGAGGTTGTTATTTTGGATGCCAAAGGCGATCGAATCGAGAACGGCAGCATCGTGGGACCCATGCAGGAACGTCAGTCACTCAAAGCAACATGTACTGTGAAGAACACCCGCCCACAACCAGAGGTGGGATGGTTCCGCGGAACCAAGCGACTAACAACTTGTGAGTATTTATAATATTTGTTTACTTTGTTATTAAAGCTTGAAATCGATTATTAATATCGGATCATTGTTATGACAGCTATTAAATCAGTCATCCAATTCGCCAGATTTACTGTTGCGATTGTGCAAACACCTTTTGAGCTGCGTTGTACCACTAACCATACAACATATGTTGTATGGTTACAAACGTTCTGTATGTCAGACAAAAGATATAGTCATATGCATAAAAACAACAATTTGACAGAAAACAGGAAATTAATTAAAGAAGCTGAAAAAGAAATCTTGAAACGAAATAGATCTATTTTGGCCCTATCGTTTTTATTTTGTATCATTATTATTATTTATTTATTTCATTAATTGAGTAACATATATACATTTAAATATATAAACTGATCCAACATCTTGCAACAAATCGTCTTCTTGAAACACAACGATACAAATAAAAAATCAATTATTTTGAAAGTTAATGAACACATTTGTTGTTATCAAATAAAATTAGCAATTGTTGTAATAGTTTTTTAAGCTTACAGATAAAAGTTGCCCTAAGATTAATCACAATAATAAAAGTCCCTGCTTTGATATTTGACGTTTATTTTAAAAGTCTTCGATAGCATTTAAATAAATATCAAAAGCTTTTTTTTTACCAATAAATTACAGAGTTTCTTTATTATAAAAACGATAACTGTACCTATACCTGGTCGAAATAGAAGTAATTCAAACCCGATTGACACAAGTTGAAATAACGTATAGCAATACCAATTGCTTGTTCATGCTGTATTTTGACTCCTACAGATTCCCCCACTCATGATTTAAACGATGGTCTTTATACGTCAACACTCGAGCTGGATTGGCCATTGTCCCGCGAAGATCTTGCTCAGGATTTTGAATGCCGCGTGACATCTGCAGCCATACCAAATACAACCGTTACTAAATTTAGCGTGGATTTACAAGGTATTTGAATAAAATGGAACCGATAATATAGTTAATTATACCCGTTACTCGTAGACTAAAAGGGTATATTGTATTCGTGCAAAAGTATGTAACAGGTAGAAGGAAGCGTTTCCGACCCTATAAAGTATATATATTCTTGTTCAGGATCACTAGCCGAGTCGATCTAGCCATGTCCGTCTGTCTGTCTGTCCGTATGAACGCTGAGATCTCGGAAACTATAAAAGCTAGAAGATTGGCATTTTGCATGTAGATTTTAGGAGTTCCTACGCAGCGCCCACAAGCCACAAGCTGTGGCCACAGTTTTGATGCTATTATGAAAATTTTAATTGATATGTATTTGTTTCGTCAATACCTATCGATTGGCCTAATAAAAGTTTGCCACGCCCACTCTAACGCCCAAAAACCCATTAAACGCTTAAGCCTGGCTAGCGCCTACATTTCCGCCTTTCATGGCCCGTGGTACCAATGTCTTGGGGTAGATGGCGCAATACAATAGCGCCATCTAACGGATGGCTTTGGAATAGCCAAGGATTTTTAGAGGGCATAATTATACATCAAATTTATGATTGTGTTTCCTAGGCTGGGGTCTTGTGTTCCTGTCAACGTCCCAGACAGCTATCTCTCCGAAAAATTTAAAGACCAGATTAACTTGTCGCGAAAGCAGATCGGTTTTCTCGGCGTCTGTGATTTATTTTAACGAGAAAGCATTACAGACTGCTGTCAGCCACATAAGCTCAAATCTTGATTCAATCTTCTCCATCTGGCTTCTAAAATTCACTGTTATTTTGTAGAGCCGAAAAAGACTTAACAGGGATTCTGGTTACTTGTTAATGTTAGCTTTCAGAAAACCAGCTCTGTCCGAGAATTTTGACAGAGGTACGAGAAATAGGTCTTAGAAGGACAAATAAAGACGCATTTAGTTGGATTTTTACATTTCCTGATAATTCATAAATTTAACAAAATATTCGTGTTTGAATAACAAGCTGTTATTTTTTCTTTTTCTTATAACAGTACGGCCGACAGGTATTGAAATTAATGGAGTGCAACATCATACAGTACAAGGCAGCAAAGTGGTTTTAACATGTGATGTAAGTAATGATTATTAAAGCAGATGAACATACAGTTTGTCGAGTAATTGTTTGCAATATGTAAAATTTCGAAGAAACTTAACTTTATGTTGAAGATTTCGCAATAAAAATTGAACTTTCCGACTTATGTATATGCCTACAACTTTTGGGAAAGTTTCAAGCAGATAGCTTTAAAACTGAGGGACTAGTTTGCGTAGAAACAGACGGACAGACAGGCGGACGGACAGACGGACGGACGGACAGACGAACATGGCTAGATCGACTCTGCTGGTGATGCTGAAACTGCGTTGAGTGTAAGGTGTAAGGGTATAACAAATAATCATCAAATATTAGTCGGTCAATTAATTCTTTGCAACATGCAAGCACAAGGCACAAAGAGACGCATACAAAATCTACGGTTAAGTAAATTTGCTCCCTTTTATTTTCAATCATTCATTTCTATTACAAGGGTAAATCGGCAAAACAATTTGCAGAAACCTTTGATATTAAATTAAGGACAGTATACCAAATAAGAAATCGGCTGCGACATTCCGACTCTGGAGGCCTACCAGAAAAGCTTACCGGAAACGCGACTAAAACAGTTGGCATTGGACTTGAACACAAGTATTTATCACATGTAGCCAGAAAGAAGCCAATGCTTTCTGCTAGCAATATACAAATACATAGAAAGACGTCTTCACTTTTCTATTGCCCACGCTAGCATGCCGGCTGAGGTCTGGGACAACATAATTTTTTGTTACGAAACTAAAATAATGTTTTACTATCACGATGGACCCAGCAAAGTTTGGAAAAAGCCAAACACAGCATTCCATCAGAAGAATATAATACCAACAGTAAAGTTTGGCAAGCTTTCTGTAATGGTATGGGGTTGTATTTCATCCAAAGGCGTTAAACAGATCAGAATTTTTAATGATACAATGACGAAAGAATTTTATTTGGACATTTAAAAAAACGAGTTGACAACAAGCGTATTTAATTTTGGATTTGTTAAACGTCAAAATCCAAATCAACTGCAGTACAAGCTATATTAAGATGATGATCCCAAGCATAAATCCTTGCTTTACAGGACCTGGCTGCTGTATAACAGCTCAAAAGTTATAGATACTTCTGCCCAGAGTCCAGATCTGATCCCCATGGAAAATTTGTGGGCTTTATTATAGAAGAAGGTCGCAAAAAGGAGACCAACCAGCAAAAAAAACCCTAATTAAAAAAAAGAAGGAAAAATCCGGAATATTACGACTTAAATGGCCTTATCCTGTCCATGTCTCGACGCCTTGGTGCTGTACAGGATGCTGCGGGACATCGAACTAAATAGTACCCCAAAAACTTATATAGTTTTTAAGTTATCAATAGTTATTAACATTGTGCATGCGTTTTGAAATCAATTAATGGACAGCGAGTTTTTGTTTTTTTTTATTTTTTACGTTTTTATACCCTTGCAGAGGGTATTATAATTTTGGTCAAAAGTGTGCAACGCAGTGAAGGAGACATCTCCGACCCTATAAAGTATATATATTCTTGATCAGGATCACCTCCTGAGTTGATATAGCCATGTCCGTCTGTCCGTCTGTCTGTTTCTACGCAAACTAGTCTCTGAGTTTTAAAGCTATCGAGTTGAAACTTTGCTAACACCCTTCTTTCCTTTGCACGCAGTATATATATATCCTATATCCTATAGCTGTCATATAACTGATTAATCGGAAATGCCATTACTTTGGTGTTTGTAAAGTTAGGAAGTTGGGATTTTCTATGGGTTTTATATTTGGCCAATCAATCCGACCTACCAAATTTCATAAGGATCGGCCGACTATATCCTATAGCTGCCATATAACTGATTGATCGGAAATGCTATAACTTTGGTGTTTGTTAAGTAAGGAAGTTGGGATTTTCTATGGGTTTTATTTTTGGCCAATCAATTCGACCTACGAAACTTCATAAGGATCGGCCGACTATATCCTATAGCTGCCATATAACTGAACGATTGGAAATGCCATAGCTTTGGTGTTTTTAAAGTGAGGAAGTTGGGATTTTTTATGAGTATTAAGAATGCATCATATGAATAATTTTGGAAAATATAATTTACAGAGTATTCTGCAAGGGTATATCAACTTCGGCTCCGCCCGAAGTTAGCTTTCCTTTCTTGTTTGTTATGATTTATACTGAAATACGGTACTTTTTTATAAATAATTGCCTACTATAACAATGTTACAAAAGAAAAAAATGTGAAAACCTTGTTTTTGTTAATATAATACATTTTCGCTTTAAACCTATCTATGACATTTTTCATTTTGCAAACAATTACTTGACAGAGGTCTCTAAACACGCTAGAAAAAATGTGTAGATTCAATTATCCCAAGAAATGTTTGCAGAGTGTTCAGTTACCGCAAATTAGTCTAAGATAAAATCGTTTTGAAACAGAACTTTAAAAAAATTCAAAATTGATAAATATTAAAAATAATTACCCTTAAAATGTTAACCAAACGATTTCAGCTTTGTATCTTTTTATTAAACTTTTCGACATTTTCTGCGAAAGATTTTCGGCCTAACGTTGCGTTTTTTATGTTACCATAGAAAACAAAATTTGTTTTTTTTTTTCTTAAATATGTATTATGTACAGTGGCTCACAGCTTATTTCGTGCAGACGTAAACCTAAATATCAAACTCATATATATGAACAAGATTCAAGTGCAGGTATGGTTGGAAGTTTTTTGGCATTTCTTAGGGCACTTCAAAAATAAAAAATTCCATTAAATAACACTTAAAAGTAAAAAAAATAAAAAAAACTGACATTTTTTATGTCCAGCTTTTTTTGTGAAGATCATTAAACTTAACTTTTTTGTTTCTACAATTAAGTATGAAGACTTGGCTTGTCTGGAACTGACCTCTCGTGGTCATTACGCCAGCACAGTCCACACACAAGGATCAGGATGATATCTAGCAATAAAGACCTAAAAAGTTTTATCTTGCAAGAATGGGGAAAAATTACAGTGGAAACCAAAAAAAAAAGGAGTTTCCTTCATGGGAAATCGTCTCAGAGGTGTTCTGAACCAGAAAGGAGTACACACAAAATATTAGCTGTAAAATTAGTAACAAAAAGTTAAGTTGAATGAACTGCACGAAATAAGCTGTGACATAAAAGAAGTGAGTATTTTTAGTTTTTTATGTATTATTTAAAGGAGTTTTATTATTATTGAAGTGCCGTAATAAATGCCAAAATACTTTCAAACATAACTGCACTAACATTTTGTCCATATTCCGTATTGTTTGCCACCTATATGAGTTAGAATTTCAAGTTTACTTCTACACGAAATAAGCTGTGAGCCACTGTATATACCCCGTCTTCGGAAGCTGCTGGCCTAATTTAATAAAACATAGAGAGCAAAAGAGAGCCAAAATGTCAAAAACCTAAAAATATATAAAGCTCACTTATACAAACAAATTTAATGGGTTCTCTTTTTGGGTACCTATGCCTTGAAATCAATACAAAGATTTTTTTGATATTTTGGAAAGAAAAAAAGTATAATTTCGATATTTTTAAGCATATACCGATATACTCCGAGATATTTACAATTTTATATCATATAGCTGCCAAAGAAACGATAAAAAATTTAAAATTGTTTTTTCTGGCTATAATATTACTACATTTTGGTTTGAATTAATGTACTATTTTATATTTTTAGATTCACGGCGCTCGCCCAGCTGTAAATCTTACATGGTATAATTCAACTAACCTAATAAGTGCTGATGAAAATGACCTAACTGAAATTCGGATTAAAGCGGTAAAAATACGTTTTATAATCGTTTTATAATAATAATATTAACATTTATATTTCCGCCTAACATTATTTTTCCATAGTTTGAAAAAAATGATGGCACTTATCACACCCAATCAGAACTAATTTTTATTGCAACTCGCTTTGAGAATGACCGTGGTTTTCGCTGTGAGGCTGAAAACGTTGTTTTGCAAATCAATCGAGAAAAACCAATTTCATCAGCTCTAACATTGGAAGTTTTATGTAAGTATATCTACCCTTTTTCTTCAATTCCATGTTCCGAGCTTCACTTCCGAAATAAATTTTTATTAAATAAAAAACTGCAAAGTTAAATTTTTTTTTCATTTTTATTTTTGTAAATTTTTTTATTTTTCTATATGAAATAGATGTCCGATTCTAATTTAGTTAAACCGGAATTCCATAATATTTAACCCGTTGAGGACGGCGTGACCCACCGGTGGGTCACGAATTAATGTTTCATCTGGCTGAACACCCACTGTGGGTCACGCCGGTTTTGATTCAGAACTATTTTTTGTTAAATAAAATAAAGCTATTTGGTATCAAAAGAAATTTTTAAATATATTTGTTAATATTTATGAGTTTTTTTTAAACGTTTTAAACAAAATGGTGGTTTGTTTGGCCCATCCTCGTGTTAAATAATACCCAACCCGAAAGTACAAAAAAAAACATTTAATTTTATTTAAATTAAATTTATGATACCTTTCAACTCAAATATAGTGAAACATGTTGTTTGAGAAGCCTTGCCACTGATATATATGCCGACAGTATCGAATAAAAAAGGAATATTTAAAACCTAAGAGTTTTAAATGTGTATTTACAAGCTTCCTTTATAATATTTTGACTTACAAAAAAGAAAAATGCATTCTACTTTGCTCCTGGCTTTATAAACTAACAAAACATTGAAGTACCATTACAAATTTTTAAAATTAGTCGACTACCGGATCTTTAAGCAAGGGTATACAGGATTAGATCAAAAAAATTACCCCTTTTTTTTTACCAGTAAAGTGAGTCCTGCACTAGTTTTCTGTAAGATTCTTTTGACTTCTCCTTAATCAACACAGCACTGCTTGTAAATATAATAATAATAAAAACGTATTCTTCAATAGATCCCCCGGTTGTAAAAGTCAGTCCATCTGATTTAATTGCCAATACAAGTCAAATAGTTCTTCTTAATTGTGGATATGTTGCAAATCCTGCTTCTCTAACCCAAGTTGAATGGTAAGTACAGACCAATATCTCTGACCAACAGATATTTTCTGCAAGGTTAATAGCATATTTTCATATTTCCACCGGCTTTTTGTCTTATTTCAAGTTTAGGAACAACATTTTGTTATACCCTTGCAGAGGGTATTATAATTTCAGTCAAAAGTTTGCAACGCAGTCAAGGAGACATTTCCGACCCTATAAAGTATATATATTCGTGATCAGCATCACCAGGAGAGTCGATCTAGCCATGTCCGTCCGTCCGTCTGCCTACGCAAACTAGTCCCTCAGTTTTAAAGCTATCTGCTTGAAACTTTCCCAAAAGTTGTCTTTCTATTGCAGGTAGTATATAAGTCGGAACGAGCCGGATCGGGCCACTATATCATATAGCTGCCATATAACTGAACGATCGGAAATGCCATAACTTTGGTGTTTTTAAAGATAGGAAGGGATTTGGGATTTTTATGGGTTTTATTTTCGGCCAATCAGTCTGACCTATCAAAATTTCATAAGGATCGGTCGACTATATCCTATAGCCGCCATATAACTGATCGATCGTAAATGCCATAACTTTGATGTTTTTAAAGTTTAGGAAGGATTTTTTTATGAGTATTAAGAATGCATCATATGAATAACCGATCCGATTTTGGCGAATATTATGTACATAATAATCTGCAAGGGTATATCAACTTCGGCTCCGCCCAAAGTTAGCTTTCCTTTCTTGTTTTTTAATAACATATGCTAAATCGTCTAAATTGAAACCCTATCTTTGAAACACACTTATTTTGTTGAACTTATGTATCGTTTTGAGTTCATTAGAACTGGATCTGGCTTGGGAAATTCGAAGTTTGCCAATTTATTTTTACGGATTAATGCGTAATGGTAAAATCCTAATCCAAGTATTTGCACACTTTTGACTGAAATTATAAAACGCTTTGCAAGGGTATGAAAAGTCTACGTAGGGGGAGGAAAGCATGCCAAATTTTTGATAGCTTTCAACTCAATTATAGTAAACACCATAAAACGAGCTTTGTAAAACATGTTCCTTGAGAAGCCTTGTCACCGATATATTTTCCGACAATATTTAATAGAATCATTTAAATGATACCTAAGGATTTTAAATGTGTATTTACAAGCTTCCTTTAGATTATACCGATAAGCCCTTCGTTCCGATATGCAGACCTTAGCAGGTACTTTCTGAGTACTTATTAGCAATCTTCCGATTGAAATACTATAAAATTTTAAATGGTTTTAAAAACATTTTTATTTTTAAATCTAAATGGTTTTAAAACTTTTGAATGTTACACCAAAAATTACAATTTTATTAGAAATATTCACACACTCAACATTATTTACCACTTTCCAAAAAATGTCATTTTTTACCCGTTATTGCGCAAGTATTATCTTCCGTGAAATTTTTGCACTGAAATCGTGTTTTTTACTGTATGTCTTGCAAAAAATAATATTTAATTTTCCAATTTTTAATTTTTGATCAAGCAACATAAAAATTGAGAGTGACACGCAAATTATTTCGGTTAGAATGTATATGAAGTATATCACAAAAGATATTTTGGAGTGACCCCCGAATAAATTATTTTTCGGTGAGCTTTTATTCCGGCATATGGAATGTGTTCCATTTTGGAAGAAAATCATCCAGTCTAAGCAAAGGTGTCTGAATCTAATAACATTTTCATAAAGAAGTGCTTAGTACTTTGGATCCCAACAACAAAACGAGTTGTTGAATTTGGCTGCGTTTCGACGGAGATCCAATCTTCAGAAGATTAAAATGCGGCACACAAAATAATGGTGCCGACGCTGTTAGTTTGTCGGGCTGGCAATCTGTTTTCAAGGTTCTAAAAGTAACTATTTTTAAAATGACGAAAAAGCGCAAAGGGCGCGCCTATCTGCTTTGACTGTCGACAAGGCTGCCTTTCAAGGAACACATAAATTGACTGTAATCCAGGATTAAGCCAGTTCAAACGATCTCCTTTCGAATGTTTTCTTCGGTCGGGATTGGCCGACTATATCCTATAGCTGCCATATAACTGAACGATCGGAAATGCCATAACTTTGGTGTTTTTAAAGTTAGGAAGTTGGGAGTTTCTATGGGCTTTACATAATATTCTGCAAGGGTATATCAACTTCGGCTCCGCCCGAAGTTAGCTTTCCTTTCTTGTTGGAATTATATTGGTAAGATGATGATTCAAAAGTCTTATAAAATGGGCGGCTAAATACAGGGATGCCAAATTAGTAAGTGCAACGTCGTATCAAGGTGCTTTTAAAGGGCTTTGCCAGTTAGACAAGCGTATACCGAACAATGCCCACCTGAAGGAAGTATTTGAGTTGGGTCAAGTGAAAAAGGTTCTACCAGAATTTGCTGAAACTAGACACTCAGGCTAGCCGGGGGAGCCACAGATTGTTATCGAAATTGCACATGGAGCTTTCAGCGGTACTAATTAACTGGGTGGCAATAAAACTCGCATTTATTGGTGACTTTTGAGAAAAGGTCTAAGTAAATCAATGTATTTGCCCAAATTAAAAATGATTTTGTGGAAACCGGACGACAACAACCAGATTTAGGAGTATGCTTGTTGCACGCCGATGATTGACATGAGCTGTGCCCAGTATTTGGCTATAAGTCTATCGTAAGAGGAAGTGCAAGATCACCTATTGACAGTCAATGAGCTCGAACGTGAAATGTATGTGAACGATGCAGGTCACTTCTTAGTTGAGGACTCTCTTCTCGACCTGCCAACAGAAACAACTGAAAACCGATAGTGTAACTGTCAGCATTTAGTTTAGCAATTCTGGAAGCACTGGTTGCCAGGATGAGCGCTTCTCATCCAATCGTTGGGCTCTCGGTCGGATTATTGACATATTTCATTTTGGACCAGCATAAAATATATATATATATACTGCGTGCAGAGGAAAAAAAGGATGTGTGCAAAAGTTTCGATTCGAGATACTGAGAGACTAGTTCGCGTAGGAACAGACAGACGGACATGCTTATATCAACTCAGGAGGCGATCCTGATCAAAAATATATATACTTTATAGGGTCGGAGATGTCTCCTTCACTGCGTTCCACACTTTTGACCAAAATTATAATACCCTCTGCAAGGGTATAAAAACAATTAAGCTATGTCGATTTTGCGCATTTTGCCTTCGCTTCTTTGGCAGCTGGATGATATTGTTGTCCGATTTAAATTTAATTAAAATCGTAATTCTATAATATTTAAATATTACGAAATCCCAAAGAACAAAAAAAAATTAAAAACAACAAAGTTATAATTTTTTGGAATTCTTTTTCTCCGATTGTTCGTATGGGAGTATGATATAGTCGTATGATATAGTCGTTCCGACTTATATACTACCTGCAATAGAAAGACAACTTTTGGGAAAGTTTGAAGCAGATAGCTTTAAAATTGAGTTTGCGTAGAAACGGACGGACGGACAGACGGGCAAGGTTAGATCGACTCTCCTTGTGATGCTGATCAAGAATATATATACTTTATAGGGTGTATATGGTACGGAAAAGCCTCCTTCACTGCGTTGCAAACTTTTGACTGAAATTATAATACTCTCTGCAAGGGTATAACAAGGGTATACAAATGATACTTTGTGTAGTACTTTTCAAATAGGGGCACAATTGATAGAAATACTAAATCACACCTGCTAAATAGGCACTCAGATATTTTGTGTGAAGATGCTTTTTGAAAATATTTGTATATTTACAAACGCCTTTGGGCCTAAATTAAACCAATTACCCTTAGTGCCATTTTAGTCCATATAGAAAATCACCTTTTTCGTAATGTGTCCTGTTACTTTGTAAATATTTGAATTTCCCAAAACTGTTCAAATTGTTTGTTTGTTGATGTGAACACAAAGAGCTAAAAAGTTGTAAGAAAATCCGGCCATTGGTCGTCTACTTGTCTTTCATCGTGTAAGGAATTTCCTTATATTCAAAACTATTTCTTCTTTTATTCAGGTATCGCAATGATGATTTGGTAAACGTAAATGACACAGATCGTTACACTGGCGGCAATTCGGAGAATGTTGCTCTCGTTATTAAATCTACAGAAAAAGAAGACATTGGAAATTATTCTTGCCAATTGTCAAATAACATTGGAAAAGGAATTTCTGATCAGAAAATTAATCTTGACGTGCAGTGTAAGATAATCTTATATTTTGGTAACAATACTTACATTTCCATTTTCAACTGTAGATGTCCCAAGTGTCGAGATTCTAATGATACCAGAGGGTCCCGTAAAGGAAAGCGATGAATCGAACGTCACCCTTTTTTGCAACATTTTGGATGCAAATCCTTCGATTCTCACCAAAGTGAGGTGGTACGCTAACTCTACACTGCTTAAGGAGCTTCCGGACTGTGAAGAAACAAGAGTAAGTAATTTTGTTATTTTTAAGATCAAAATGGCCGATAAAAAATCTTAAATTTAGCATAATTATAAAGATGACGTTAGTATTAAAAGATAATCTTATTGTTTCTTAAATTATGAAGAACCATACATTTTAGATGAAATGTATTGTTGTTAATATCCCTGTTTCAGTTTTATTAGTTCTTGCGAGAGCTCGAAAAATCTGTTTTAGTGCGAAAAATTACATTTTCAGTGCGTTAAAATATTTCAATTTAGGTTAGGAATTTTACTTGCAGACCTATTGGTTTTTATTTAGGGATATTTGGTTCCTAACATTTGTTTTCATTGGGATATTTAACTTAAAGATATTTAAGAAGAAACATTTCTTATTAGAGATGTAAATGATAATTGTCTTAAAATCCATAAAATACATTGTTTTTAAGCATCTAACAACTTTACTCTATTTATTATTAGGAGGATCTATGCCATATAGACCCAAGCAAACTGTTACTGGAAAGTATTGGACGTGGCTTTTTTTACAATTATTCCTGTGAAGGATTCAATTCTGCCGGCTGGGGTCCACGCAGTGAAGACAAAGAATTAATGGTTTGTTAAGTTAGTTTTGTTAACATTTCTTTTTGCAACGTATTTTTTTAACAGGTACATTATGAACCGGGATCTGCTGCATTATCTCATTTTCCCACTGTCGCTGTAAAGAAAAAGAGTGTGACATTCTCTTGCTCCGTAGATGATCCTGGCTATCCAGACTCAAATAGGTTTGTAAAACAACAAGCCAACCAGAATCACAAAATTACGAAACCCAAACACGCACCACTTATTGATATCTATACCGTCCAAGCACTGCAACAGCACGAAGCGGACGTTGCTTTCGAAACGCTGCTGCTGCATAAACATCAAGAACTGCTCCAAACCAATGCTTCGTCACAAATATCATCACGAACATTAAAAGCCAACGCATCCCACCTAGCTCACGAAATTAAAGAAACTCATGCTCTAATTGATTTACACTTAGACCAATCCCCTTGTACATTACTCACAATCACCACATACATGCCAAAACCGCAAATCTTAACTCTTTACACTGGGGCACAACCAAAATCCGATTCGTACGCCTCTACATCGTCCTATGCCCTTTACCGAAAAATGGGCAAATTTTCGTTTGTTGCTCAAATAGTTTCAAAACCCAACAGATTTCGTTGGCTTCGCGGCGGTCGGGGTCCTCTGCAGGACATTGTGACGAAAGATTGGACGGTGGAACCAGTGGGCCTAGACAGCCGCACCAATTATTCTTGCTACGCATTCAATGAGGGGGGCAAAGGCGTAATGGCTACAGTCAACTTGGAGGTACACGCACCACCGTTTTTTATCAAGAACTTGCCACCCTATACGGGAATACTGCACTCCTCATCCAATGCCAATTTGACCTGTCGCATTGAGTGTGTCCCGCGCTGTGACATATCATGGCTAAAGGATGGTAAGCCAATACAGAAGAACGATTCGCGATATTTTGTTAGGGAGAAATACATGGATTCCTCCCCCGCCACGGGCGATTTTGAAAGCATGCTATCAGTTTTGGTGAGTACGATTTATTTTTATTGAAAATATTCCTAGTCTCATTTTTGTCAACTCTGCTATTATAATTTCAGTCAAAAGTTTGCAACGCAGTGAAAGAAACATTGCCCATAAAATACATACCTTCTTGATCACCAGGCAAGTTGATCTAGCCGTACCCGGATGCTCGTCCGTCTGCGTAGGCAAACTAGTCTTTCACTTGTTAAGCTATTTCTATAAAACTTTCCAAAATGTCTAGACCAACTTGCCTGGTTATGTCATAGAAAAAAGACGGAAGGTTTCATGGAGATAGCTTTAAGACCGAACGGATGGACAGAACAAATGTTGTTAAAGAATATATGAAAATGTCTCCCATCACTGCGTTACAAATTTTGCCTAAATTTATAATAGCTTCTATTTACAAATTCTAAAAAGAACCGATGAACTAAAAATGTATAGGTAATTCTACTTGTTACCGCAAAAGTTAACTGTTTTCTAAAGGTGTATTTTATATATACAGTGATTATAGGATGGACATTTCATGCAATCATTTCATCAAATGAAATTAAAATCTTTGCCTGAAATTACTCCAATCAAGAAAGGAAGTTTATATACCCTGCAGTTATTACAAAACGACTACATTTCGATTTCTATGCCTATATTACTAAAAACAATGAAGCTTTGTCGATTTTGCGTCCTTCCGACTGTCCGCACGTCCGTTTCTACGCAAACTAGTCCCTCAGTTTTAAAGCTTTCTGCTTGAAACTTTCCCAAAAGTCGTATTTTTATTGCAGGGAGTATATAAGCCGGAACGAGCCGGATCGGGTGACTATATAATATAGCTCCCATACAAAGAAAATAAAATAATTCGGCAAGCCGAAGTTTATATACCCTTGCAGTTATACACTGATATAAGAATATATTTACTTTATAGGGTCGAAAATGTATCCTTAACTGCGTTGCAAACTTTTGACTATTTAATTTGTCGTAAATTCATATTTGGACTTCTTATTTGCAAATTGAATGCTTTTAATATCTATTAAGAAATATTTGTTTGACACGACTATAATAAAAAAGACATGAGTTAAGGACTAAAAAATCGTCAAGTTCTTTAGACGATGATAAATATTGCGAGAAGGCAGTTTCTTAGGTTTACTCCAAATAAGAGAAAAGATATGTGGTTTTTTTTAAGTAGAATGTATCTATTTAAAACTGTCCCACGTGGACAATTATTAAATTATATTAAACAAGAAAGGAAAGCTAACTTCGGGCGGAGCCAAAGTTGATATACCCTTGCAGAATATTCTGTAAATTCTATTCTCCAAAATTATTCATATGATGCATTCTTAATACTCAAAAAAAATACCAACTTCCTAACGTTAAAACAAGAGAGAACGCTATAGTCGAGTGCTTCGACTGTTAGATACCCGTTACTCAGCTAAACAACTTAATATAAATATGCCTTCTTGTAATAAATTGACTAGAAATATTAAACATACATATTTATATTGGCAAAACACATACATTCTTAAATAGTATTATGTATATTAAAGTCTAAATGTTTGCACAACACGAGTAACGGGTATAGTAAATAGCTTTCTTTGAAAGGAGTTATCTTTGCCGGGCAATTGCAACTGTGTACAATGTAAATACATACATATGTATCTGATTACATACATACACACATACGCCATTGTTTGACTCAGACCTCCAATTTGGCTAACTAGATTTGATTTGCATAGTTCTTGGGATATAGTTCGGTATTGACAAATGAAAACCATCGCAATTTCCTTTAATAGAAATCCTTATCGAGAATTAACGTTGACGCTGTTGAGCACCTTGGCCACATATCAATTAAAATTTTCATAATATCATCAAAACTGTGGCCACAGCTTGTGGGCGTCAGAGGGGGCGTGGCACCATTTTGAAACAAACTTGCGCTGCGTAGGATCACCTAAAATCTACATGCAAAATGCCAATCTTCTAGCTTTTATAATTTCCGAGATCTCAGCGTTCATACGGACAGACAGACGGACAGACGGACATGGCTATATCGACTCGGCTAGTGATCCTGAACAAGAATATATTTACTTTATAGGGTCGGAAACGCTTCCTTCTACCTGTTACATACTTTTGCACGAATACAATATACCCTTTTACTCTACGAGTAACGGGTATAAACACCAAAGTAATGGCATTTCCAATTGTTCAGTTATATGGCAGCTATAGGATATAGTCTGCCGATCCATATGAAATTTGGTAGGTTGGATTGATTGGCCAAATATAAAACCCATAAAAAATCCCAACTTAAAAAATACCAAAGTTATGGCCTTTCCGATCGTTCAGTTATATGGCAGCTATAGGATATAGTAGGCAATCCGCTGTTCGACTAAACACCGCAATAGAAAACAACTTGAGAAAGTTTCAAGCAGATATCTTTAAAACTGAGGGACTAGTTTGCGTACAAATGGACAGACGGACGGACAGACGTATAGAAGGACATGGCGAGATCGACTCTCCTGGTGATGCTGATCAAGAATATATATACTTTAAAGGGTCGGAAATGCCTCCTTCACTGCGTTGCAAACTTTTGACTGAAATTATAATACCCTTTGCAAGGGTATAAAAACTGGGCATTAGTTTCTCCATTTATGGTAAGTTAAAGTTGCATTGTCCGGTTAGTCCCAAAAGAGGTCAAGAGGTTGGCACAGGAGCAGCCTTCTGGTCCGTTCACTGTTAACCAGCTGGTTGATCGGGATGGTCGTGTAGCCTCTGCATGAACCGCTTGCTGCTTCTGTTAATTTCGTCCTTCACCCACGGGAAGCTGAAAACTTCATGAATTGTGGCGTTGTCGTGCAGAAGGTGAGCGCTTGTGGCGGTGCGGAGAGCTCTGTTCTCGAATGCCTGATGTGGATATTGGGTTTACAGGCGGTGCCCCACAATTGGAAGCCATATGTCCAAATTGGCCTGATGATTGCCTTGTAAATAAGTAGGTTCGGTGACGTCAGCAGTTTATATTTTCTACACATCATGCAGTAGAATACTTTAGCGCAGGTTTCTGCCTGGCGGCGCTTTTTCAGCAGATGCGGTCTCCACGTGAACCTCCTGTCAAGGGTGAAGCCGAGGTATTTAGGAGTGGCTACATTGGAGGGCAGTTGCCACGGCGGACGGAAAAAGTGCGAACTTATCGCCGTTGACGGACATATTCCTCTCTTTGCGCTAGGAGTTAAGCAGGTAGAGTTGCTTTTGCATTACCTGGGAGTCCTCTGATGGGGTATCTGCTACGATAAGGAAGGCCGTGTGGTCAGCATATGTGGCTGCCATTAAGTTGGGGCTCAGCAGGACCGGGAGGTCTTCAGTGTATGCGTTGTACATAAGCGGACCGAGGGCTTTTCCACATTTGACGTAAAACGTAAAGTTTCAGGAGGAGTCAAGAGTGCAAGACTCGATCAAAGGCATGTTTGCCTACTTTTTATTTTCAAAGGCTTCCAGGATGTATTGAACCACGGGATGGTATAGCTCCGGGATTCCATAGAAGCTCCTGAAGCCAAACTGGATCAGACTAGCCTCGTCCATTACCGGCAGTACCTTACTCAGAAATACTTTTGCAAGTATCTTGGAGAGCACTGGCAGTAAGCTGATCGGACGATAAGTGGCAAGATAAACTTCAGGTTTACCAGCCTTAGGTATCATAACTACTTCAGCACGTTTTCATGATTATGAATAGTGCACCATTTGCAATTATTTGTTGAATGTCGCCGAGAATAGATATGAATTTTGGATTGCTTACGAAAACACTGATAAACAAGAAAGGAAAGCTAACTTCGGGCGGTGCCGAAGTTGATATACCCTTGCAGAATATTCTGTAAAGTCCATAGACAATACCAACTTCCTATCTTTACAAATACCAAAGTTATGGCATTTCGATCAATCAGTTATATGCGGCTACAGGATATTGTCGGCTGATCCTTATTTGGTAGGTTGGTTGGCCAAAAATGAAACCCATAGAAAATCCAAACTTCCTAACCTTAAAAACACCAAAGTTATGGCTTTTCCGATCGTTCATTTATATGGTAGCTATAATATATAGTCGGCCGATCCTTATTAGTATGCCTTAATTTTTTTCCGTGTTCAACCAAATATTCTTGGATGTTCGAGCCGTAAGCACTTAGCATACTAATTGTCTTCGGCAATTGTGCCGAAGAAATGTAAAAAAAAGTTTTTTATTTTTAAAAAATTAAAAAATAAAAATTTTAAAAAGAAAATCGAAAGTAAGCAATTAAAATACTTTATTCTTGTTAGTAAGCTAATGGTTGGAAATACATTACCATTTATAACAGTTTATTTTAGTAAGTTAGCTATTCGTTGAATATATATTAAGAGATCGATTGACTGGTCCAAAGTGTTGCAAGTGTTAAACCAAAATTTAACATCATGTGGCTGTAAATGTTATTTGGTAATAGGTCAAGTTTGGTTCTGATAAAAAGTCATATATCTCAGAGCGAAATTTTAAAAAGAACTCAAATAAAATGGTTTAAAAAATTAAATCGACCATTTACTCCACAGAAGAAAGTTTGACATAAAAATCATAATTCTTCCATTCTTAAAAAACCAAATAAAATCGATTTGTCGGCGAATCGTTCCGTTTGAAAGCTTGTAAGCTTTCTTCAACTCCTATCTTAGATTTGAGCGATAAAATTAATTTTAGTTTTTATGCGTGCATTTTTTTAAATACAATTTTTGGAGGCATTTCTTGTATTTTACCTATTTGTTTTTTATTTTTTTAAGATTTAGCATCTGTAACGAACCGACCTCTTTAGCGTGTATGGTTATATAGACGAAAGATCTATTTTTACTAAAATGAACATTGGCCAAAAATTCGTTTACCAAAACCCGACAAAAAAACTGTTAAATTTTTTGTTTTTTAATTTCTGTGTACCTTGGCAAGACAAGTCTGTCCTGTCATAGTACTTGAGGATATCCTTTAATGGGCCTTTCATGCAAATAAGTTATTCGAATTTTAACTGTTTGTCCACAAATAAAGCTGGTTGACAGTGCGACCGTAGCAATCCTGTTGAAATCGTTTTTATTTTTCCGCTGGCGAACTAAGGTTTGGATCTGAGTTCTAATAAGCCTTAATGTTTTAGCCACTTATGTTTTGCAAAAATGTAAAAATAAGTACTCAGATCAAAAAACATTCAAATCGTTTTTAAAGAAAATTTGTCCTTTTTGGATCCGAAAAATACTTAAAGGAATTACATTTTTTTTTCGCTAGTCCTTAGCAAGCTCTATATAACTTTCTCGTATTTTTTTCGCCGATCTTATTATTGGGGTAAGAAAATTGCACGTAAAGTGTCCGCAAGCTATTTAACTCTCGCTTTCTCTCATAGCTGACGAAAGGAGTTCGTCGATCTGATGCTTTTGGTATAATTTTTCAACGTACTCATGTTCGGTTGGATTTTAAAGTCTGTTTACTAAGATTTTATTTTCAGTTGATATTTGGGCATAAGTGTTTTTATTAATAACCGAAACTGCAATTTCAGCACTTTAATATGTCGAATTGGCCTCTTGCCAAGTTCGATATCGAGGCTGATAATGCGGACTATACTTGCGTCTCAACAAATAATACAGTGGGTTCTAGCATCAGGAGTCGCACTTATTTCGGCATCGAATGTGAGTAAAAAAATTACGCTTAGCTATTTAAATTATATACGTTTCGCAATAGACGCACCTGACAACACAACCGTCTCGGAAAACATTGTTTATGTGCAGGAAGATACCATACCAGGACGTGTGATATGCAAATCTCGAGCTAATCCAGGCTAGTTTTTTAAACCATTTAACTTTTTTTATATATCATTACATGTCGCATTTACAGAACCTTCATATATTTGGCTTTTTAAGAACAAAACAATAGCCAATGGAAATGCATTAATTATTAATACTGCTATGAAACGGAACGACAATGGAACCTATACCTGTTTTGCATATAATAAGCATGGTAGTAGCATTGCTGAAACCGTGATCAAAGTGCAATGTAAGTAATGTAGTAAAATACGTAAGCATTTTAATATTATATTCTTGAATTATTTTACAGTTAAGCCACGATGCGAAATCGAAAGACGGGAAATTAATGATCAGGATACTCTTGTTTGTACTGCTTACGGAGATCCCATTGAGGTAAGTTTGATACCAATTAGCTTCTATGCTTGAACTGTGTTACTACTGTGGGCAAAAAGTAAGGTGAATTTGTTTGTAAAATGAAAAATCTTTATTTATTCTCCTAAATCAATTTCATCCCCTTAAAAGTAATCCCCTCCCGATAAAAAAAATTATGCCAACGTTTTTTCAAATCCCCGAAACATGCCAAATAGTCCTTTTTCGGTATAGCCATGAGCGGCCTCTTCGATTAAGCTTTTATCTCCTCAATCGACTCGAAACGCGTTCCCCGGAGTGGTTTCTTGAGTTTTGGGAATAGCCAGAAGTCACACGGAGCCAAATCAGGAGATTTGCCTTCTGCAACATCATCAACATCCTTCCGCAGCCAAAATTTCACTCCGCAAACAAAATTTGATGGCACATCTCTGCTTTATTAAATCAGACATTGTAAAAATCGAAAAATACACTCTTGCTCGTTCAGTGAACAGAAACGTAAATATAATACTAATACTGACATTGACATGAAATTAGCCCCAGATGTCATCAACAGTCCTGCCAACTCAAGAAAAAAAAACTGGTCCGCGAATTTTAAATTGAAAATTCAATTTTCCCAAAATATGAAATTTTAGAAAGTAAAAAAGAAAAATGCTTGTTCAAATGTAACTATTCGTTTTTTTTAGTTATAAAAAAAAGTGTAGGATTTATGGGTAATAATAATGTTTAGCTGCGCCTGAAACTTACTAATTGAATACCTATATGGCAAGTTCCAAAAAGAATTAAAATACAATTGTTATCTATGTTCTTGGCTTGGGGTAACTTTAAAATTAAACAAAAAAGGAAACAAACTTCAGCAAGGCGATGTTTATATACCCTATTACTACGAACAATGAAGCTATGTCGATTTTGCGCTGCATTTTGCGTTTCTATGGCAGCTACATATATGATATTGTTGTCCTACTTTGAAAAACTAAAATCGTAATTCAGTGTAAATAAATAAATAATTACTATATCTCAAAAAAATATTTTGACAAATAGAAAAACAGCAAAATAAAATATTTTGATTGATAAATGTCCGATTTTAATTTATATAAATATTAATAAATATTATTAAGTCCCAAAGAACCAATAAAAATAAAAACAACAAAGTTATACTTTCAAAATTCGATTGTTCCTACGAGAGCTATATGATATGGTCGGCCGATCCAAAAGATAACTTTTGGGAAAGTTTCAAGTTTGCGTAGAAATGGACGGACGGACATGGCAAGATAGACTCTCTGGTAATGCTAATCAGGAATATATGTGGGAAAAGAAAGGAAAACAAGAAGTGGTCATGTCTACAACTGTTCTGCATAAAACATATAAGATTTATTTTAGTTTATTTACGTTAACATTATCTTTACATTATTTTAAATCTGTTGACGTAAGCTTATCATTAGCAAGTCTGTCGATATCTAGAATATCGATACTGCACGAAAAGAATCGTGGCACGAAGTATTCGCTTTTGCTTTCTGTGTTTTCGGGAGAGAAGATGTAAAACCACAAATCCCTTTGTTTTTTCATTTCAAATAAAAATCATTAAATTATATTTGGAGTTGTAATTGAACCAATCACCGGCGATCCTACAAATTTGGTGTCAGAAGTGGGATTTACTTCGAAAAACAACACAGAAGCGAACGTGGCACAAAGATTCACTAAAGTCTGAGTGTGTGTAATTGCGCAGCAGCATTGTTCATCGTGGAGGCGTTTTACGCAGAGCAGTTCACTGGCAGATCGTGTACACCTGAGAGGTGTAGCAAGGTGCGCATCGTGCGCAAAGGTCCTGCAAGGAGGAAGGAGACATCGAAACTTGGCTTTGGGAAAGCGGAATTCTGGTGAAAAAGCCTGGAAAAACAGCGTCAGCGTAGGCACAGGGTGTGTCGTGTCAAAGAAGGAAGGAAGACCCGATTCAATAAGCGTGAGCTCAGTTTGTGCATTGTTTGCAGAAGTGGAGAGTGAGCGAACTGTATCAATATTTTTCAACTATTATATTTAATCAAAATTCATTGTATTACCTAACCACTAAGTTAAGTTCAAGAAATCGTTTTAATTTGTCAAATTTTGTAAACAGAGAGCAATAACGAGTACAGAATGCAGAGGGCAGAAATTTTGTCGTTAAACGTAAACGCATTGAAAGAGCAATTGTCACAGCTAAATTTAGCTACAAGCGGTAGGAAGCAGACATTGCAGGACAGACTTCTTGACCACTACAACATAGCAGCTGAGGAAATCGAGGATGAGGAGTCTGAGTACGGGGATGCGACGACGATGCACAGTTCAAGATCTACACCAGGCGACGGTCGCAGTTCATTTACACTACGCGACATAGAGGACTCCCTTTCTCAGTTCAATGGTACGAGCCAGCCGTCTGTTCACAGCTGGATCCAGGAGTTTGAAGATAATGCAGCAGCAGTCCAATGGAATAGTCTTCAAATGTTCATCTACTCGAAGCAATTGCTAAAAGGAGCTGCGAAAATATTCGTTCGAAGCCAGTCAGGCATTTCCAACTGGTCATCTCTAAAGCGAGCATTAGTCGCTGAGTTCGGATCTGAGGTTTCGGTAATTGAAGTTCACCGAATGTTAAAAAATCGCCGAAAGGGCCCAAAAGAGGATTACAAGGAGTATCTCTATTCGCTCATGGAAATAGGAAAGCCTGTTAATTTGGATGACGCCAGTCTTATAGAGTACTTCATCGAAGGTATACCCGACTCGAGAACCAACTTATATCAGGCCAGGACTCTGCAGGAGCTTAAGGAGCAAATAAAGGTATATGAGAAAATTCGTAGCAGTCGCCCTCAAGTGGTTAATACGACAAAATCTTATATTACCAACGAAGACAAAAAACCAGATGTGACCAAACAGCACTTCAAAAAATGCTTTAAGTGTGGTGATCCTTCACATTTTGCACGAGAGTGTAACCAGCAAATTAAATGCTACAGGTGCGAACAGCCTGGCCATAAGGCATCGAATTGTCCGGTTACTAGGGCAGCAGATAGGAAGGAAGGAATAAGTGCGAACTCAATGACGAACCATATCAGCAGCAGTGGCAAATGTATTTTTAAAGAAATTTCATGTAATGGCGTTCGATTTTCCGCTTTGATCGATACAGGCTGTGATCTCTGCCTTATCCGTGACGACTTGGTTGAGATGTTGGGAAATATCGAGCTTGTTGATGAAAAGCATTGTCTGGTCGGCATTTGCAACAGTGAGCTAAATACGCTTGGCAGTTTCGTAACCCAAGTTTTGGTAGACAACACTTATTTGGACTTAAACTTTCATGTTGCTAGCAGAAATGATATTAAGTATTCAGCAGTCATCGGAAATAGCGTACTGAAGCTAGTGGACTTGATATTCTCAGAGAAGTCGGTAAAATTTCAACCAAAAGAGAAACTGAATATCCAGGAATCGTTTACCACAGAGCAAGAGGTAGAGTCAGAGTTACAGATATTCCAGGAATATCCTGAAATGTGTCTTTTCGCCGAAAGTGAGGAGCCCGAGATTGACGTTGCTCACCTGGATAGACCAATTGCTGAAACTGTGAGAGATTTGATCATTAACTACAAGCCAGAGAAAAAGAAGGACAGTCCCATTCAAATGAAGATTTTGTTAAATGACGAGTACCCAGTCTATGAACGTCCTCGACGCATTTCACATGCAGACAAGTCAATTGTAGACAACCAGGTTGAGAAATGGCTAGCAGAAAAGATTATTCAGCCAAGTTCATCTGAGTATGCCTCACCTGTTGTCTTGGTACCAAAGAAGGACGGCAGCAAGCGGCTTTGTTGCGACTATAGACGGCTAAACGCGAAGATTGCCAAAGATCATTTTCCGATGCCACTTATAGATGATGTCATTGAAAGACTGCAGGGAAACAGCTTCTTCACAACACTTGATTTAGCGAATGGATTTTTCCATGTACCAGTTGACCAGAATTCGACAAAGTATACATCTTTCGTGACGCATGCAGGGCAATTTGAATTTTTATATGTCCCGTTTGGAATTTCAAATTCACCAGCCGTATTTTCAAGATTTATTTATGCAATTTTACTGGATATGGTGCAAGATGGTACAGTTGTAACATACATGGATGATCTCATTATTCCCTCTAAGGATGTAAATGAAGGAATCCAAAAGCTAGAGCGTGTCTTAAATCGAGCTTCAGAGTTTCTCAAGAGAAAGGTTGACTTTTTGGGTTATATCGTTGAAGGAGGGACTATAAGACCATCGGAAGCCAAAACGCAAGCAGTCAAGAACTTTTCGATTCCACATGATCGGAAGAGTATTCAGCGTTTTCTTGGATTAACATCCTATTTTAGGCGATTCATTGCTGATTACGCGATGAAGGCGAAACCACTTTCTGACTTGTTTCGTAAGGAAGTTCCCTTCCGATTCGATGAAGACCAACGCCTAGCATTTGAGCAACTAAAGGTAGCGTTGATATCTGCACCGGTGCTGCGATTATACAATCCAAAAGCTCAAACGGAGATACACACAGACGCTTCTATGCACGGCTACGGAGGAGTTCTTCTCCAAAAAGATCCGGACGATCAACAGTGGCACCCTATCCAATATCTTAGCCGAAAAACGAAACCAGCTGAAGAGAAATACCACTCTTACGAGCTCGAAGTGTTGGCCATAGTCGAAGCTTTGAAAAAATGGCGTATCTATTTATTGGGTATAAAGTTTAAAATTATAACCGACTGCAATGCCTTTGCGTTAACAATGAAAAAGCGCGGCGAAATCCCTTTAAGAGTGTCACGGTGGGCATTGTTTCTCCAAGACTATGACTATGTCATCGAACATCGAAGTGGCAGTAAAATGCGGCACGAAGATGCCTTGAGTCGTGTTTCATGTCTAAAGCTGGAAGACACACTGCAACATAAATTGCAGGAGCCACAGTCGCAGATGAATGGGTTCGCGCAGTAATAGCCGCCTTCGAAAACAGCACTTATGATGACCTTTTCGTAAGGCATGGTGTTTAATACAAGGATCCTGTCAAAGAGTTGATCGTGGAACCGAGTCTGATGGAAGAGGAAATCATTCGTATGGCCCACAAGCAAGGAAAACTCAAGAAGCTATTGACATGACGTTTTACATACCGAACTTGTCGAAGAAAGTAGTTAGAGTGGTAAAAAGCTGCGTCGAATGTATTGTTTCTGAGGGCAAGGATGGTTTCTTAACACCAATTAACAAAGCCAATAAGCCGTTGGAAACATATCACGTTGACCATGTAGGTCCAATGGAACAGACCGGCAAGAACTATAATTACATTCTCGTGGTGATCGATGCGTTCTCTAAGTTCGTCTGGCTCCACCCGACAAAAACTACAACGGCTGAAGGAGTTATCGATCGAAACCCTAGGCGCATAATTTCAGACAGAGGGGCTGCATTTGTTGCAAATACATTTAAACAATACTGCGACGAGAACGGAATACAGCATCTGATGATTACCACCGGAGTTCCCCGAGGAAATGGTCAAGTGGAGCGGATCCATAGGATCGTGATTCCGATGTTAGCCAAGCTTTGTCAGGAAAAACCGTGTAGTTGGTATAAACATTTAGAAGTTGTACAGCAAGTAATGAACAGTACACCCCCAAGAAGCACGAGATTCTCACCTTTTAAGATACTGACAGGCGTTGAAATGAGAACTAACAAAGTATCAGAGCTGAACATGTTCCTTGAAGACGCCGCTATTGAAGAGTTAGACCAGGAAAGAGAAACTATTCGTATGGAAGCGCAGGATAACATTGCCAAAATTCAGCAGGAGAATCGTAGATCCTTTAACAAGACGCGTAAGAAGGAGTTACATTACAAATTAAACGAGCTAGTAGCTATAAAGCGCACGCAGTACGGCACCGGCTTAAAGTTGAAACAAAAGTTCTTTGGACCTTACAAAATAGTCAGGACTTTGCCCCACGGCAGATATGATGTGGAAAAAGTTGGTGACCATGAAGGCCCAGGGAAAACATCAACCGTTGCAGAATATATGAAGAAATGGAGTCATCAGCCTGAATCTGCAGAAGAACCATCATTCGAGCCGAATGATAATTCAGGATGGCCGATTGTGGGAAAAGAAAGGAAAACAAGAAGTGGTCATGTCTACAACTGTTCTGCATAAAACATATAAGATTTATTTTAGTTTATTTACGTTAACATTATCTTTACATTATTTTAAATCTGTTGACGTAAGCTTATCATTGGCAAGTCTGTCGATATCTAGAATATCGATACTGCACGAAAAGAATCGTGGCACGAAGTATTCGCTTTTGCTTTCTGTGTTTTCGGGAGAGAAGATGTAAAACCACAAATCCCTTTGTTTTTTCATTTCAAATAAAAATCATTAAATTATATTTGGAGTTGTAATTGAACCAATCACCGGCGATCCTACATATATATATACTTTATAGGGTCGAAAATGTCTCCTTCACTGCATTGAAAACTTTTGACTGAAATTATAATACCCTCTGCAAGGTTATACAAATTAAATATTACAACCTATTATTTTACATATTTTACAGGCCGATTTTTCTTGGTCAATTAAAGCTGAAAATGAAACAGTTGAAAATTTGGGCAGCGGTGACAAAAACGAATTTGTTGAAAAAAGCTTTTACGTATTGCAAAAGGACTATGCAATTTCCAGGACTTACAGATGTGTGTCCAATAATACGGTTGGTTCTGGACCATTTTGTGAAATTGAAGTTGCTGGTACGTATATTACAAGCTTTGACCTTATAATTAATTCTGATTAGTCAGATATAAACAATTTAATACATTATTTTTTTTATTTCCTAAATGGCAAATCAGGGAATCGTTTAAAAGTCAACAGAAATTTTCAGCAATTGAGGGAACGCCCCAAAACTATCCTTGTTGAATTGTCAAGCAGCTATTATTTCAAATTTTAGAGACTTACAAATTGGTTTATTTTACTTTTTGTTGTTAGTTACTTTCGTATGTCGGCCTAAAAGTATTCTCCTTGAATTGATTTAATAGAAACAAGAAAGAAAGAACTTCGGCAAGCATAAATTCCATCTACCCTTGCATCTGTTTCAAAAATTGCATATTCTAAAGTTTGTTCAGCAATCCGAAGTTTATATACCCTTGCAGTTATTGCAAATCGACTACATTTCGATTTGTATGCCTATATTACTACAAACAATAAAGCTATGTCGATTTTGCGCTGCATTTTGCCATCGTTTCTATGGCAGCTATATGATATTGATCTGCGATTTTAATTTAATTAAGTCCGTAATTCCATAATAATTAAATATTACAAAATCCCGAAGAACAACAAAAAAAAATTGGAAACAACAAAGTTATAACTTTTTTTAAAATTGTTTTCTCCGATGTCTCCTTCACTGCATTGCACACTTATGTGTGTTATAAAAATTGGTCAAAGATTTTTCGGCTTTAAAATTTATGAAGTTTCTTTTAATTCGTATGGAACAGTTGGTAAACATCTGATCAAAATTTGACGATTCTTTTGCTTATGGAAACTTAGAAAGATTCTTTCTCTCGAGCTGAAAACAAAACACGAAAAAGAGTATACTTATACCAAAAAAAGAGAGAACGCTATAGTCGAGTGCCTCGACTATTAGATACCCGTTACTCAGCTAAACAACTTAATATAAATATGCCTTCTTGTGTTTTTTTTTGTTTTATTTTTTTAACATAATGTGAATTAGAGTGACCACAGGAAAAAAGGACAAAAAGTTCAAATTATCAATTTGAATTCGGCGATCTCTTAGTGCTGGCGAGCATCAGCACCAGCGCTGCTTTAGCGCAGGCAGCTTTTGTCCTGCACCAGCAGCTGTGTTTATGTTTATGTTTTTGAGTGCAATAAATGGACTAGAAATATTAAACATACATACTTATATTGGCTAAACACATACATTCTTAAATAGTATTATGTATATTAAAGTCTAAATGTTTGCACAACACGAGTAACGGGTATAGCGAATAGCTTTCTTTGAAAGGAGTTATCTTTGCCGGGCAATTGCAACTGTGTACAATGTAAATACATACATATGTATATACTTACATACATACACACATACGCCATTGTTTGACTCAGACCTCCAATTTGGCTAATCAAATCTATTTGATTTGCATAGTTCTTGGGATATAGTTCGGTATTGACAAATGAAAACCATCGCAATTTCCTTTAATAGAAATCCTTATCGAGAATTAACGTTGACTCTGTTGAGCACCTTGGCCAGCTGTTCCAAAGTCATCCGTTAGATGGCGCCATGAATGGCGGAAATGTAGGCGCTAGCCAGGCTTAAGCGTTTAATGGGTTTTTGGGCGTTAGAGTAGGCGTGGCAAACTTTTATTAGGCCAATCGATATTTATTGACGAAACAAATACATATCAATTAAAATTTTCATAATATCATCAAAACTGTGGCCACAGCTTGTGGCTTGTGGGCGTCAGAGGGCGTGGCACCATTTTGAAACAAACTTGCGCTGCGTAGGAACTCCTAAAATCTGCATGCAAAATGCCAATCTTCTAGCTTTTATAGTTTCCGAGATCTCAGCGTTCATACGGACGGACAGACAGACGGACATGGCTAGATCGACTCGGCTAGTGATCCTGAACAAGAATATATATACTTTATAGGGTCGGAAACGCTTCCTTCTACCTGTTACATACTTTTGCACGAATACAATATACCCTTTTACTCTACGAGTAACGGGTATAATTAACCCTAACGAGAAAGGAAAGCTATTTCGGGCGGAGCCGAAGTTGATATACCCTTGCAGAATATTCTGTAAGTTATGGCATTTCCAATCGTTCAGTTATATGGCAGCTATAGGATATAGTCGGCCGATAAAATTTGGTAGGTCGGATTGATTGGCTAAAAAAAAAACCCATAGAAAATCCCAACTTCCTAACTTTACAAACACCAATGTAGTGGCATTTCCGATCGTGCAGTTATATGGCAGCTATAGGATATAGTCGGCCGATCCCGTTCCGACTTTAATTGTCCGATTTTAATTTAATTAAAGCCGTAATTCCGTAATATTTAAATATTACCAAATCCCATAGAAAAAAAAAAAAAATCAAAGTTTAAATATGTCTTTTTCACTGCGTTGCAAACTTTTGACTGAAATTATAATACCCTCTGCAAGGGTATATCCAGAACATATGATATAGTTGAGTACCTCTACTAAGAGATTCCCCTTACTCAGTTAACCAATTACTGTTTAAAGCCTAGTACTCAGATCGACGAAAACTGTTCGTCGGTCATGAGAGAGAGCGAGAGGCAAATAGCTGGCGTTCACTTTTCGTCAGGTTTTTTTTTCACCTCGGTACTCAGATCGACGATAAAAATGCCAGAAAATTTCTTCGCGTTGCCAACCACCTGGAATGAACTTTTGGTGAACCCTAGCGAAAAAATGTAATCTTTTGGCGTGCGCTTCTCACTGAACATTTAAAAAAATGAAGGAAAAAAGTCAAAAAAACCGGCAAAAGTCGATCGCAGGAGTTTACATGTGAGGAGAAAATAACATTAATACCATCTGGGGTGCCTCTTTTCAGAGCAAAATGTTTCTTGGGTCAAAAATTTACTAAAAAACACAATAAAAGTGCAGCTACGAGCTTTAAATAAGCAAATAATTATCAGTAAATTAAAAAAAACAACTGTTAAATTTAAATTATATTGTTTTTAAATTTCTCTGTCTTGCTGGCTTTAAACAAGAAAGGAAGCTAACTTTGTCAAGACGAATAAATTGTTTTTTAAATTCTGGTATAGTAAAATATTTATATAGTATTTATTTATTATAGCAGAATTACGCTGCTAGATTTGTACAAATCGGACAACAATTTCATATAGCTGTCATAGAAACGATATTAATATTTTAATAAATAGAAAAACAAAATAATATTTATTTCCATTATTATTTTTTTTAATTTTTTGATTTTTTATGGGAGCTATATGATATAGATGTTGTAACGACCTGTTTCTTTATTTTATGCTCGCTACGTAAACGTGCGGCTAGCTCAGAGAGGTTGTGAGTTCGTTCCACCAAATTTATATTGAGGGACTGCCCGTGACCAAAGGTGAACGCCAGAAAAGATTAGGTTAGTGCTGGTTTATTGTTTCTCAAGATATAGCCTTATTGCTACTGTTTTGCTACCCGTTGTCCTAGCTCGCTGCTGCACTGCTCCTGGCCTGCTACTGCGTTCGGCTTGCTGCTCCAGGTGACTAAGATCAGGACGGCTCCACCAAATTATGTTATGCGAACCTACCTACCGGGGCTGGCAAGGTGTATCGCCTAGCAGGTGAAACGGTTTCGCCTTATCGCCTTGCCACCTTTATTGCCTGGCTCCCGGAGTTCAGCCTGGACTTTGTCAGCAAGGTGTATCGCCCAGCAGGTAGAACAAAGTTCTCCCCTATCGCCTGACACCGCGCAAGGACTCCCTAAGTTTGATTTGACCACGACCTAGCACCGTTGGATCTCAGCGTTGTAGCCTCAGCCTTGTAGACTTGTCGTCGTTCGGCGTCTCGACTTTGCGATCTTGATCCTTGGGCACTTCGGTTTCGATTTACTTATTTCGCACTCGCTCTGATTCTCGCACTCGTACTGTCCCGAGCTGCGCTTGCGCCGTCCTTTTATAGTCGCTGTAGGTGCCTTTTTTTTCCTCGCCAAGCTCGGGTCCAAGGTCCACTGAAGTAAGGTTCATTCACGGTGTGTCCTCTTCATCCGGGTCCGAAGTCGGCCAATTCACCGTATGACCTCGTTGCCCTTGCCATATGAGGGTCCAAGGTCCGAATATTTCCCGGTCGACCTGGATGCCCTTCATCTCTCCGGCTTTCTCGCCTCCTCCGCTGTTACTAGGCCGATCTCCTGCATCGGGATTTGTGGGGAGTTTAAGACTCCTCACAATGTCCGATATTATTTTAACGTGATTCTTAAATATTACCAAATCCCAAAAAATTAAAAACAACAAAGTTATACCTTATTTAATTTTTTTTTTCGATTGAGCTATTTTATATATTCGCCCGATCCGGCCGGTTCCGACTTATATACTACCTACAATAAAAAGACAACTTTTGGGAAAGTTTCAAGCAGATAGTTTTAAAACTGAGGGACTAGTTTGCGTAGAAACGGACGAACTGACAGACGGACGTGGCTAGATCAACTCTTTTGGTGATGCTTATCAAGAATATATATATTTTATAGGGTGAGAAACTAGCAAACTTTTGACTGAAGTTATAATACTCTCTGCAAGGGTATAAAAATCACCCGCAAACACTCAATTCAGCGGAAAACTTTGAATTACTAAAAAATTATCAGTTAATAAAAAAATACGTATTCAAGGTACACAGATTATTTCAAATGTATATTTATTCAAGGAAATTGCCATTTAAGTTACATTTATTTTTTATTTTGACAGCTGCTTCACCGCTTATAATTTGGTGGCAAGGTAAATGCCATAAAAAAACTTATCAGCCCATTGTTTGAAATGATTAATACCAAATAAAGTATTCTAACTGAACATTAATTACCCTATTATAGTTGTTAATCTATGCACTAATAATACCCTTAATGTGTTTTTTCATTAAATTGTTTTAATGTTTCAATGCAAAACTAACTGAATGAATAATAAATTATAAAGTGCGGCCAAAAAGTAAGTAAATAAAATTATATTGTACTATGTTTTAGTGTCCCTTAACATATATAATTTAATCAACATACACAATTTTTTTGCTGCAATCGAAAGCTTTCTCTTTTAACTTCCAAATTGTTCTTTTAAAATTTATAAATTTAAAATGTGTTAAATTATTTCATTACGAGACTAACAATAAGTGTATCAAATCTTACCATATTAACCTAACTAACAGTCATTTTGACTGGTACAGAGTTATCCGATCCTCAACACTATTGCTGGGTTGGGAGGTCGTTGCGTCGCAGGCGGGTTCTGCTGAAAACCGGAGTTAATCACCGAGGGAGAGAAGAGAAGACACCTTTTGTTTCTGAATTTCGTCTTTTACTGCGAGGATGCCAAGGCCTATGTGGATGTTATTGTTCCAAACATACCATGGTGCCCCAGTGATAGTTCTAAATATGGGGACGCATATGTCCAGATGGTCTAAAGAGTTGAGTTGAAATGCAGGATCTTGTAGTCCAGGCTTAGAGGTGATCGAGCGTTTATAATCCAGAGGAGTCCGCTGGCTTTTAGTTTTAAGTGCAGCTACTTACATTCTATGTGTCTACGCCAGGTTAATCGCCTGTTGCGGTGGACGCCGAGGTACGAGGCATCTGGAACTACTCAGGATCGCAGTATCGTCGGCAAACGTAGACGTTGTTAGTATCTCGTTCGTAGGGATATCCGCAGTATATAGCACAATTGAGGAACTTGAAGTACTCCAGCTTGAATCATGTATTTGTCCGATGTTGCTGTTCTGCATCTCACTGAAAATACTCGGGGGCAAATGCATTTTGACTTTATGCATGAGACTATGATGTACCGCAGCTGTGCAGTTTCTGCCTGTTCCTGGAGCGCAAGGTCGAGAAAGCGGGTGGCTTCCTTAAGGCGTTGTTTTGAAGATGGCGATCTGCTGGTCTGCCAAGCACGTCGCATGCGCATCTTTTCTCGCACCAGCTGTTAAATTTTATGATTGGATCTATAGTATTTATTTGATTGTACTTCCTTCGCGTTATCCAGGGCTTCAGCAGTGCAGTCGATGTCCTATTCCACATTAAGTTGAGGGGCGAGTTCTATATGAGAACTCACACACTTTTTGTATTGAAGCCAGTTAGTTCTTTGCGACGTCAGCTTGAAAGGGTGTTCGATTATTTCAGGGCTTTGAATTTGTGTTATAGGGCGAGTGGTCTGAAGAAAGGTTAGAAAGCGTTTTGGCACTTATTAGATATGGGAGCTTTAAACATAGTCAAATTTGTTTCTAACATTTATAATTTCATTGTAAAATTATCTTCCTTTGGGAGCCACAAGACGTGATCCCCAGTTCGTATGTTTGGCATTTTAGTCTCCTGCGTCTATAAAACGATCCCCAAGTGAGTTGTAGAAATCCATGAATTGTCCTTCCGAGATTGTAAAGCGAGGCGGGCAGTAGACGGCAGCAAAATATAGTTTCCGTTACTGGATTCCATTTTTATAGATGTGGCCTGCAAGGAGTTTGTTGCAAACCTTTGGTGAAGGTGGTGTTTGATGCGTTCTCTGATTAAGACTCCAGTTCCGCCGTGGGCTTTTCCATCCGGATGATTTGTGCGGTAAAATGTATAACCTCTTATTTGAAAGTTGTATTTGCTTGCGAAGTACGTTTCTAACACGAGCATAACGTCTATATGATTTTCGTTCAGGAATTCTGTTAATTAAAGTTTATGCAGGGAGACACCATTGGCGTTCCAAATTGTTGTGCTACGAACAACTGTATCGGTTTTGAACAAGTATTTGCATTGTCGTTTTCATGAATGACATTTGTACCATCATGCTTTGTTGCATAGTTTCCATTTTAATATTTGGCTGTCCTGGGGCCTGCTGAGAGCTTACTTGGGGAGGCTGGAGTGGATTTTCCATCCCAGATCATAGATCATCAGCATAGGAGATGCCGTTGGAGGTATTTAAGGGACCGTATGAGGATCTCGCAGCTTTAGCGAAGAACACTTCTGGCGTTGTTTGCGATGCAGTATATCCGTTCGGTGCATTTTTATGGCGCGTTGCTGCCACTTGTCGCAAGCGACGGCCCGAAGTGTGTCTCCCGGATATTGGTGCGTTGCACTGGACGATTACGTTTTTGCGACGGTGCAATCGATATTGCAGCTTGTAGATCGGGTGCACATCGTTTTTCTTCAAGAATTTCTGTTGCTCAAAAATAAAAAATATTTTTTTTTTTTTTTGTTTTTTTTATGGGGTTTTTTTTTGTTTATTTAAAAAAAAAAATTTTTTTTGTTTTTTTTTTTATTTTTTTTTTTTTTTGTTTTTTTTTTTGGGGGTTTTTTCTTTTTTTTGGAGGGGGGGGGGGGGGGGGTGTCCCCCAATTAGTTTTGAGGTCAAATAGCAGCTTTGTAATTCTTCAAGAATTTGCTGTTTGTCTCAAGCTTGACCTTGAAGATTTGCTGCGGGGGCTTTTTGTTTTTGTTGAGAATGTTAATAACTTTCTTGGCGGTTAAACCCTTTTATTTTAGGGCATATGTTATCTCGGTGCTGCTAACGTCTGGTTCGATTCCCTTTATTACTGCTTGCAGGCCTTACTGCTTTTCAGTTGATACGTGTAATAATTTGTCTTTTCGTCTGTAATTGTTTGGTGGTCTTCATATTTCGTTTGTACCTTTGATTCATGAATATTCCCTTTAATAAGCGGAACAACATGGAAGTTCCCATTCCCGACCACCACACCTATTTTGTTGACCAGGGCTTTAGAGCATTTCTCCCTGATATAGATTGGTGGAGGCTTTGGTTTCTTTAGAGTATCTTGCGCAGATTTGTTTTCCTCAGCGTCCGCCAAAAGAGCAAATCTGTTGTTATTGGTTCTATCTTGTTCTTCATTGGTCTTCTGGAAGCGATTTATTTTTGTTTTGTGCTCGCTGGATTATTTTGTGGGCTAAGCTTACGTTTTATCTAAATGTAGCGCTCCATTCCGGTCTGTGTGGCCGGGACCGCATTAGAGCTTTCAGAATTTGTTTTATTTGCAGTCGCTGCAATCGTTGACATCGCGATATTGGCCGCTGCTGAAGTTGTTGCTGTTGGATTTGCTGCGGTTGCGGGAAATTTAGCACTGCTAGTTGTTGGTGCGCATTTTGTCGAACTCCATGACGTGGGAGTGGGAGTGAGGAGAGCGGGTGAGCAAGACCGTGCCCTTTGGCTATCAACGGTCAATAGAGCCGAGAGGAGCACTTTAACGACGATTTTTCCACTTCGGTCTCCCGGCTTAAAAAGTAAGATTCGAAGCCGTTTCTTTGGTTTACTGAGCTTCTACGCTCATTCTTTTGTTCGTCGCTCATTTGAGCTGTTTTGCGTGGGACTTATTTATTAATGTAATTATGCACCTGTTTTAATCATGTCACAATTGTAGTTGGTTTAACGTCTCTTCGAAGATCTTGTATTACCCCAGATTTTTTGCTTTAATAACTTTGAATTTTAACAATTTCCGTAAGTTCTGATCAAACTGCATTACTTATGCAATTTATCTTCTTCGCCAGTAAATACGGTTTTCGATTGAGCTAATACGAAATTTGGGGTTGAGTCCACTGTTGCGCATATAGATTGAAATTTGAGTCGCACTTAGATTAAATATCATTTATTATTATATTAAATGCTTTTTTGCTGTAATGGTGGCGTATATTATGCGTATGAAATGAAAAAACTTTTTTGGTATGCAAAAACGAATGGCTTGTGAAACTTAATTCACCTTCACGCTTTGTAGTGTTTACAGGTAGCTTACCAGAAAAAGTTATCTTACAATATAGAGGTGCGGGCAGAGCAAACAAAACCTCTATATAAGTTCTTATTCTATGATCTTGATTCTTACTCTGTGTCGCTATTGATATTGCTTCGCACATGATAGATTTGGTGAGCAATCAAAATTAGCTTAAAACACGGCTCTCAGCAACATTTTGTTAGATTTAATTTCGTTTTATTTTTAATAAAATAAAAAATAAAAGTCTTACCATTCTAGAAAAGATATAGTGAAGTAAATAAAAAAATGGGTTTCGGAGCTTTTAAATTTTTAACAAGATAAACTCATCTTCTAAGATGGTTTTTATCTTTAACTTTTATTTAGGGATCTATAATTTTTTTTTAGTTTGTGTTTGAAATTTAAATTTATATATTTTTTGTTTGTTTAGGCATACACATTATAATACAAATTGAATGCATTTTTTTAGGTGACTACTTTTTTATGTTTATTTTCAATATAATTAAAAATAAATAATATTTACATTATATATCTTTTTTAACGTTAGAACAACTGGCATGGTGGCAACTCTGGGAAAAAACCACACTTATCATATTAATTGCTGCTATATTAGGCTTGTTGCTGACCGTCGTTATCATTTGCTGCATAATTATATGCATTTGTCGTCGTCGACGGCGCCAGGATAAATGTAAGTATCTATGGATAATAAATAAAAAATAATAGTGATATTTCAAAAAATGTGATTTACAATAAAAAATCAGTAAAAATATTTTTAAGCAAATATTTAAGCGAACAACAAAAAAGCAAAGTTGTTCATAATAAATTTGTTGGGTTCAAACTTATATATTTTTTTTATGTTTTACTTAAGTATTTTAGTTGTTCGCCAAAGCATGAAATATTTTTTTTTAATGTTCTCGCATGAGATACAACACGAGCGTAAAGTAGGCGTTCCTGAGATCTTGACTTTCATGTAGCCTAGTCAGGCTTTAGCGAAAAGATTAAAAAATTTAATCTTTTTTGGTGTCTGTTGTCAGAGCAGAGTTTTTCTTAGGTCAAAAATTGACGGCAAAACAAAACAAAAAAACCCAGAAAAATGGTCTGCAAAAACTTTCGGCATATATTATATCTAAATTACCAAATAATTATCAATAATTAAAAAAAAAAACAACTGTTAAATTAAACTATATGGTTTTCTAATTTATTTGTATAGAATATCCTTTAAAGGCTCTTTCCCGCAAATAAGGTTTTTGAATTTTAACTGCTTGTTAACAAGCCCAGCTGATTGACAGTACGTCCATAGCACGCTCAATACTGATGAACTCTCAAAAATGCTATCACACTGGAAAGATTAAAGTTTTTCCGATGGCGAACTTGTTTTTCGATCTGAGTACAGATACACTCGGCTGACAAAATAATTAACTCGAAAACTCAACTCACTTGAAATCGGATGCATCGGTTTTTTTTTTAATAATAAAGCTTACCACTTTATTCCACTAGTTTCCTGTCGAGTCAGCTATTGATTTTTTAACTCGATTGTCCTGCCCACATTAGACTAAATAGCAGGAGATATGTTTTTATACCCTTGCAGAGGGTATTATAATTTTGGTCAAAAGTGTGCAACGCAGTGAAGGAGACATCTCCGACCATATAAAGTATATATATTCTTGATCAGGATCACCTCCTGAGTTGATATAGCCATGTCCGTCTGTCCGTCTGTCCGTCTGTCCGTCTGTCTGTTTCTACGCAAACTAGTCTCTCAGTTTTAAAGCTATCGAATTGAAACTTTGCACACACCCTTCTCTTCTTTGCACGCAGTATATAAGTCGGAACGGCCGGGATCGGCCGACTATATCCTATAGCTGCCATATAACTGAACGATCGGAAATGCCATAACTTTGGTGTTTTTAAAGTTAGGAAGTTGGGATTTTCTATGGGTTTTACATTTGGCCAATCAATTTGACGTACCAAATTTTATAAGGATCGGCCGACTATATAGTATAGCTGCCATATAACTGAACGATCGGAAATGCCACAACTTTGGTGTTTGTAAAGTTAGGAAGTTGGGATTTTCTATGTGTTTTGTATTTGGCCAATCAATTTGACGTACCAAATTTTATAAGGATCGGCCGACTATATCCTATAGCTGCCATATAACTGATTGATCGGAAATGCCATAACTTTGGTGTTTGTAAAGTTAGGAAGTTGGGATTTTCTATGGGTTTTATTTTTGGCCAATCAATCCGACCTACCAAACTTCATAAGGATCGACCGACTATATCCTATAGCTGCCATATAACTGATTGATCGGAAATGCCATAACTTTGGTGTTTTTAAAGTTACGAAGTTGGGATTTTTTATGAGTATTAAGAATGCATCATATGAATAATTTTGGAAAATATAATTTACAGAGTATTCTGCAAGGGTATATCAACTTCGGCTCCGCCCGAAGTTAGCTTTCCTTTCTTGTTTTTTGATACGATGGTTGTTGTCCGTCAACCATATATTGCAAGCAATTTGGTATTACGCTTAAAACAGCTTTGCTGGTGGTGATAGTAGTCTCAGACCAAAACTGTCCTTAAATGTCGGTAATTCCCTGAAAAAATACGTCAACCCTACAGGATATTCACTTTTCCCCATTACTGGCTTCTTATGCAGAAAAAATTAAGACCTTTACTTTTTTTTGAGAAAATTTAAACTGTTTTCTTTAAATATGCCAGATTTCGCAGAAAATCAATAGCAGTTGATATCTAGAAAACGACTAAACTTAGTTGTTATGTTCAGGTAAAACCTTAAGTATGTTATTTATCCGGCCATTAAAATTAAAATATTTTGAGTTACTTAAGTTTTCCCCTTAAAGACTTACATGGGTTTCATAATTTAAAAATGTTTGTTTTATTTACTAATTAAAATTAGTACATAAAATAAAAGTAATAGTAAGAGTTTTAAATGTTTTCAAGTGAGAATTAATATTAATATATTATCAAAAAAAAAAATAATAAAAAAAGGCTTGTTTTCGACTTAACTTCTTAAAAACCTACCACTTATTTCGCTTGACTTCTTAATGTATCTATTGCATATTTACGCTTTGCTTCACAATTGACTGGTGCGACATCATTGTACGCTGCATTAAACGCTAATAAATCGCATGAATCCTTAATTATTTTGTGCTTCAACAACAATTCCACGAACATCGCACATACACAACAACACCAACATGTACAGATCTCACGGAAGTCTCTATAAATGCTACCCAAAGGTAAGTCAGGAATTATTATCTTTTTAATATTGTCAATGACATTCAATAAGTAGCTTACCGCAAATGGATATTTAATACGTATGTATGAATGAATTTAATGCATTAACAACGTATTTCTAGAAATAACTTTTTAAGGACAAACTTTTACACACATTTTTAATTAAATAATGCTTTAAACTTGTCTTTAAATAGTTAAAAAAAAGATACACTTCCTTTATGAGCAAGACTTTAAAGAAATATTTATAAGTTGCTTTAGATTAAAAATTACAATTTTTTATATTCAAACATTTGAACTTCTTAACTTAAGTGTATACTTAAAACTGATTCTGGAAGAACTTGATCTTTCAACAGATAATGTTAAACACAGAGTTCAAAGCATGAACAAAAAATGTGTGCATGCTGTCCGTTACATAGGGTAAACTTTGTTTGCATGTCACCATATGTAACTATTTTTGTTATCATACTTTACTAAATGCTTTTTATTTTCAAATAAATACACTTAATCGCTTTTTTACCCGTAACACATTACCGTCATACGCAATTCAATCCAACACATCACCCCCAGTGTACTATCTAATCGACCGGAAATCACAGAAGCGGGTGGGGGCCTTTCAATACTGGATAAATATGCAGCCGCCTTGGCAAAGCCACCTTCCACGCGATTCAGTGGTAACGCACCAAAATCGCCACCGCGCTGGCCAATTCGTCCTGGGGTAATGCTTCACGTAAGCAGTAATACAAAGGAAAATCTGACTGTAAATCGAATGACATTAAAAGCGAACCAATCTGGCAATGCAGGCAATATGAGCCTGATGTCGGATCAATTAAGTGCGGATTTAAGGAAGAGCCAGGCTAAATCCGATAGTACCATACTTAGCGAGGTGTCAGTGGCTTCAGAAAAAAATGCAGGACCAGAGTTAACTTCTGTTGCAATACCACAATCAGAGGATAAAGAGTCTGGAGCAGAAATAGCACTCTTGGATAATTTACCTGCTAAGACATCAGGGGCTAGTTCTGGCCCAAAAAAATTAAATAATTTTTTTGAATTGATTTTTAAGCCGTCCAAAAAGTTTTCTGGCGATTGCACTCGGGATAGTCAGCGAAGCCATGTTGGTCTATTACAGACCTTTTGGCGTGGACTGGCTTCTAGCGAAAGCCCCTCCCAATTCGGAACTCAGCATCGCCCAAAAGGAATACGCTGCAGTGGAAGTGGTAGAGTATTTTAAAGTTAAGTTCAACAATATTGGTTGCTCCGTAAAATTTATTTTTCCTTTTTTATTTTTTTTGCTCATTGTTTTGCATTGTTGAAAACATATTAATAATATAGTAACCTACAAAAAGGCCAAAGACAATATTATTAAAAGAACAACCGCAACACCAATTGGAGAACCATGTTTAACAAACAAACCCAGAAGTTCATTACACAAAGATGCTGAATCTGCTAATATAGTAACTACAGGCGCTGAAAACATTAACATTTCATTACCATTGCGGGATGTGCATAATAAAATCAGATGGAGCTGTTCCGCCGATTCAACGTTGGTCCCATCTAGTACACTACCTCATGTTCAAAGTAAGAATACATTAAATATCATCATTGTCTAAGTCGCTCATTTCTATGTTAATAATTCATCATTTTTTGTTTATTTGTTATACCCTTGCAAAGTCAGGCAAACGTTTGATTCGCGGCGAAGAAATAATTCCGTCGACAAACAGAACGAATTTCAATATAATTTGGACTATATTATTTTCAAATATTTTATGATATTTGTACCAGCTTTTATTATCCCTCCTTTTTTTCAATATTTTCAATAATGTTATGAAATTTGAACTACCTGATCTGCATAGCGGTATAAAAAAAACATGAGATAAGTATTTTTTCTTTTTAGAATTTACTATATATTTACTTTTAGTTGTTGTTTTTTTAATTTTTAATTTTTTTTTTTATTTTTTGATTTTTGTCTCGAAAGAAATTTGATTTCGATATTATAAAAGAAAATTATCTAATAATAATGAAAGTTTTTAGCAATTTACACTATTCTTCATTGAAAGTATCCCCAAAGTATAAAAAATGATTCAATGAACAATATGTATAAAAAGAAATTAGAAGGAATTTTTTTTTTTATAAAACTATTTGTTTTAACCTCCTGTTATTAATATGCTTACGACCAAAAAGGACAAAGTCAATACTCTTTTACATTTTATTGAGTTTGTCGTCCCTAGATTGAGCTTCCTTTCCCATGTTTATATCCTCTTATTTCATTACATTGTATATTTATTAAAATATTATTATACCCCTGCAGAGGGTAGCCGGCTTTCCGTCCGTCCGTCCGTTTCTACCATAACTAGTCCCTCAGTTTTAAAGCTATCTACTTCAAACTTTCCTAAAAGTTGTCTTTCTATTGAAAGATCGGGCGGCAATATATATATAGCTCTCATAGGAACAATCGGAAAAAAATTGTTTTTAAAAAAGTATAACTTTTTATTTTTATTTATTTTTGTACTTTGGGATTTAGTAATATTTAAATATTTAAAATTAGAACCGGATATCTATATCATATAGCTCTCATAGGAAAATAAAACATTTTATTTTGTGTTAAATATAATATAATATATATAATATGATAGTAATTATTTACTATATAAGAATTAGGTTCTTAGTTTTGTCAAAGTCGGAAAACAGTATAATATAATTGCCATAGAAACGATTTTGAAAAAACTGCAAGGGTATAAAAACTTCGGCTTGCGAAAGTTTGCTTCCTTTCTTGTTTTTATTTAGTTCATATCAATTTTGATTTCAAACTATTAGTAAGCTTAGCCTCGTGTTGGACAAGCTCGTACATCTTAATAAAATGGTCGTAACAACAAGCAAATCGTAAGTACTCTTTAATAAATTCAATCCGGAGATAGTCTTATGGGGCGTAACAAATAAATATTAAAATTAATTTTAAATAAATTGTAACCGAAGAGATCGCTGTCACCCCCGATAGTATATATTTTAAAATTCAATGTGGTTGTACCTCCTTAGCAATTATGTAATTAAGTTACTTTATGTTCTCGTCCGCATGTTCATGAAAAGTTAATTATTTAAGCAGTGATTTGTTGAAGTTTTAAATATAAAATCAATTCATCTTTAAACATGTTTATTAACAATATTAAATTGATTAATAAAGATGAATTTAAAATATACTTTAAAATTACTTTATACATTTTTAAAATTATTTGTCTATACATTTCTTTCTAATTATTTTATTTTATTTTTTCTTCATTTGCTTCCAAAAAAAATATACAAATTCGTGGGACTAAAAATATCGTCGTGATCGTTTAAAAAAAAAATCAACCAATATGCCTCAAACAGTACACGACAAGTCGTCTTCACTGGGGGAACCATTGACGGAACCTGGCGAGTATGAGAATCTTCCGTTTCATGGTCTGCAAACGGCACCTAACAAGGTATTTTAATTTTCATATATTTTACCTTCTTAACACTGCGTAAACATCATCGTTCTCTAGACTTACCTCAAAAAAACGTAATTTTACCAATTTTTGTATAATTTTGTTTACTTATTTTTCGTGATGGTTTAATTTTAAATTCGGAAAATTATTTTGTCATTACCCTAAATATCCTTTGTTTTTAGTATAATTTATAAAATCGTTCATTGTATTTATTACATTCATGCTTAACTTCGATTACACACCTGCATTTATACATTAATTACTTTATATACTATAGCAAAGTTTATAAATATGTATAAGCGCTGCCGCCAATGAATTATCGTTAGGCCATTATACTAGTTCTAGTTTGTCTTTATAAATGTTTTAAATATTTTTGTAAAGGCAATGAAAAATTGTGATTATAGTTTCTTATGTTTTGTATATGATTTTTTTAAGCAAAAACAAAATTAATTAAAGCTGATTTAGTTTCCAGAAATTAGGTGCATAAGCTAAAAAAACACTGAAAAATGTGTAATAAGTACGCATACACGATATAAAATGTATGTAAGCGAATGCAGTTATTAAATCTTTATTGTTGTTCGCTAGCAAACACATTAAAACTGAACAGTATAGAAATATTATAAAACTTATACATTTTATAGCTCCTCAGTTGACTAATATAAAATAAAAATATACACTAACATCCAAACTAATAACGTTTTTTCGCTACTTTGCTTTCTTCATTTTCCAACTAACTAACTAATGCTGCTCATGCCATGGATTCATGTCCCAGTTCTCTACTACCCCTACAAATTTTAATAACAACACAAATGCGGTGCGCGTTGCTCCACGACCCAAGAGACTCAATGGAAATATCAATCAGTCATCCGTCAACCATCAGCAAGATGGCCAGACCATTCAACATCCACATTTATACCAGCAGCAACATTTTGTCGACCAGGATCTCCAACAAACTCAAAGATTACAGTACAACAGCAAGCACCGCCCATCAACTACTGATCAAGTTCAACATAAGCCAAGCAATTGCTTTCCGAACAGTTGCAACGAGTATTACCAGCAGCATCAGCAACAGAATCAAATCCAAATACAAGTTCCAGTAGGTGCAGCTCAGCAGTTGGACACCAATTCCTTGTCCAACATTGATTTGTTAAATGCTGTAGATCTTGATTATATTCCCACCTACGCCGTGATGGACCGACCACCTCCAATTCCACTATCAGCACTGCCTAACACTAACCCCTTTCTGGCTGCTAGGAACTATAAGAAGCACGAAAAAGCAGGTGAAGAGTTGCTAAGGAGTATGCCACGTGTAGGGCACAGCAAAGGTCCACTGGATACGGAGAATAAGTTTTATTCGCTAAAATTCCAAGAGAGCAAGCTAAGAAATAAGGGACATAATGTAAACTCCTTATTGGGATCTACCACATCACCCTCATCCTCCGCTACTAACCTTAACTCTTCGTCTACATGCAAAAGGCATAATTCTTTTGCTGGCAATGTCCATAGCGATGTTGACTCAAGTGCTCAGGGCTTATGCCTCTATGATACACCTGCTTACGAGAATATGGTGGTTACAGACTCAGCCGGCCAAAAAAATGAATCAAAAAATGGCGATTGCAATCGAAATTCTAACCAGAACCTGGCCACCGTTCAGCTGCACACTCAACCAGGCGAAGATAAAATGATAAAACATCATCGTCATAGTCACCACCAGAAAAAAAATGATGAAGGGATCTTTGCTGAGTTCCCGTTAATGGAGCCCGAGTGCATCAGCATTTATCGAAGTGACTCTGGAATATCCAATAGCTCTTACGAGTCCCAATTCCCTATAGCGTTATCACAGAAGCGACAAGTAAAACCAAAAAACGGAAATCTAAACACATCGTCCGGCCCAGCTGTTCGAAAACATGTTTACAAAAATAAGGAAGCTCAGAATAATGTACCGATTCAGGTCGATTCAGCTTGTGATAACCTTTCTACAAAAAAATCTTCTGAAAGAGGGACAGAATTAGTAAATGATCGCACACCGCTTTCAACGTGTGGAACGCCTTATAGTATTTCTGGAACTGCATCCTCCTCGCACTGCAACCGTCACCAGCCTCCAATTCAGTACACTGGAAATGACATGACTAGTCGAGAAGACTTTGAACAGTACCAACTTGGTAACCAGTCAGCAGATTCCATCTCAACGCCAGTTTCAAAAAGTCCGAACGCCACCAGATCGAGAGCAGTGGAGTGCAATAGTGTTCAATCAGCCAACGAGGTGCGTATTAAAATAATGGCACAGTCCCTTAGATATTACAAAGTACTCACATTTTGTTAAACATTTGTTAAACCATTTGCGCTTATTCTTTGAAACTGGAGCAACACAAGCATTTATTTAAGAAACATTTTGTTGATTTTCTTCATCATTGTTGTATGGTTAGTGGTCAAACCAACCCTGTGATTGCGCTGCAGCACAATAGGGATTCCTTGTCTGAAACACGATACAGTTGTCAGGTAGTTTGAAATATGTGCCACCTTTTACTTGCTTGCTTAGTTTGTAGCCCGTTTTGTTTTGTTGATGGTTTTGGGGTCCATTTGTTAAATCGGGGAATTATCCTTGGATCGCTAAGGGACTGGTGCGTTTTGCTCAACCTGGGTCCAACCTGGACTGCTGGAAATTCGAGATGATCTCTTTCGCCCATCTAATATGGGAGCCATGTTGCTTGGAGAAACCACCGTCATGGACAAAGGTGGATCTTGTTTGCCCTCGCGATCTTGGCATTCTGGCAAATAGCATTACAATTTATTTTAGACAGTTTTAGAAGCAAGCTTCGGCAAGCCGGGAACGTCTGCTCACACAAGCAAACTGTCTGGCAAGACATCTTGCAACACCACTGGGTCGACGGCGTCTCCGCAGATGACACCCGGCAGACTTATGGATTCTCGGCCGTGACAGTCACGGTCGTCCTCTGTAACAACACATCCTGATTATCTTTTGACCGGCTGTGACCACACCTGATTTACCCAAGAGTGGAGCAGCCGCTACCCGCTTTTTTTTGGATCTTTAGAAATAATTGTCAATACCCGAAAACAAGGTCCATCCTTGTGTGGCGTGTCCAACAATCTATAAAAAATAAAAAAAAAATAGAAAACGACTACATTTCGATTTCTATGCCTATATTACTAAAAACAGCAGCAAATGCATTTTGACAAAACTAACAAGAGAGAACGCTATAGTCGGGTGCCCCGACTATCAGATACCCGTTACTCAGGTAAAGGGAGTGCGAGGGAGATGGAGATAGAAACTTTGATCACGCATAACTTTTTAACGAATGGTCCGATTTCTTCTACATTTCGATAGGTATTGATAAACACAATAAAACTGCATTTTTACTTTTCCGAAATATTTAAATTTTTAAAATCGTATATAAGCGATTGTGGGCGTTAAAGGGGGCGTGGCACCATTTTGAAACAAACTTGCGCTGCGTAGGAACTTCTAAAATCTACATGCAAAATGCCAATCTTCTAGCTTCTGTCCGTCTGTCCGTCCGTCCGTCTGTCCGTCTGTCCGTCTGTCTGTCTTCTGTTTCAATACCGTTTGCGAGCTCAGTTTAAAAGCTAGCGATCTGAAACTTTCACACTCGTCCTAAAACAAGTGTACGCAGATCAAGTTTGAAAACCGCCCCGATCGGATGTCTATATCCTATAGCTCCCATAGGAACAATCGGATATAACTTGCAAGAATGGAAGATATTTCGCGCAGTGTAAAAGCTATTGACATACATCTTTCCAAATCGTATTTTTTTATGCGTACCTTGATCAGGGTAAAAGCGCGTGACGATCGGACGTCTATATCCTATAGCTCCCATAGGAACAAAAGGGTAAAATCGGTTAATATTTAATGATTTTTAGGATATTTCGCGCAGTATACAAGCTATTGACATGAATCTTTCCAAATTGTATTTTTTTATGCATACATTGATCAAGGTGAAGGCGCGTGCCGATCGGACGTCTATATCCTATAGCCCCCATAGGAACAATAGGGTGAAATCGGTCCAAATTTGATGATTATCAGAATATTTCGCGAAGTGTGTAAGCTACTATCATAAATTTTTCCAATTCTTATTTATTTACGCATATCTTGATTAGGGTAAAAGCGCTTGCCGCTCGGAAGTCTATATCTTAAAGGAGATAGGAAAAATTAATTAATTAATTTTAAGGCTGCGAAAGTATCCCTTTTTTTCTATTTGTATATGACATTTTTGCAGTATAAAAGCAATTAACTTGAAACGATGCAAATCTAGTTTACTTATGTATACCTTATTCCTTTCACTACTTTTTCACTTTTAGCAATTTCGGCAAAGTCTGCAAGGGTATTAAAACTTCGGCTTGCCGAAGTTAGCTTCCGTCCTCGTTTTTAATTATTTATTAAAAGGTTTTCAAAAGAATTCGATGACACTAAGACTCTATTTATTTCACTAGTCCGCCCGATTCTGTAGTCCCATGTTAGACGGCGCCCCAACTGGGATGCAAATCTTTTTTACCTTCTTAGTCTGGCAGATTACTCTTAATTCATTTATCCTCCCAAGCCAACCGAAGAACGCTGATTGATACTGGGTTCATTAATAAAATTAATTGTGGTGAGATTGACATCGACTTGGCAGGTCTTTGACAAATTGATTAAACTAGATATATATATCCTTAATATTAAATCGTTGTAAATCCAAATATGACTTTCATGAGTACCTTCATAATCTTAAATTTTGTCTCCCTGAGATTCGATGCAAAGCTACAAACCATCAAACAAAGCACTATGGGGTTTTTGACCTGTTTTTGTGGCATTAATTAATAACTCGGTCAGTTTTGGAGATATCGACATGAAACTTTACCAATCGTCATTATTTGTCCCTAGGCACATATAGTGTGAAAATCGTTTGGATCAGGAAACAATATCCTATAGCTCCCATAGGAACGATCGGTTAAAACTAAAAAAAAATTAATGAAATTTAAAGAGCTGAAATTTGTTGGTACATGCCTTTAAAAGATGATGATAATAAGTGCAACAAAAGAAAAAAGAAAAAATTTCGTCAAACTCAAAACTCATCGGCAGCCACGGATACATATCGACTAACAATTCGCCAGTTTGTAGGCAAAATGATTCGAATTTGTCCAAATTGACGGGCAACTGACAGGACAAACATATCAAAATGATCCTCATATTATAAATAATTTGTTCATCAAACATTGTATAGCCTTTTCTTGCTCACGCCGGCCCTTCTCGCTATTCCAAACAGCAACCCTTTGCAAAGGGACAAAGATTTTCATTTTGGCAAAAATCTCAAAAATGTTGTTCATTCAATAACTTTGAACCGAACGTCGGGTTTGATGTGTATTTATACCCGTTACTCGTAGAGTAAAAGGGTATATTGTATTCGTGCAAAAGTATGTAACAGGTAGAAGGAAGCGTTTCCGACCCTATAAAGTATATATATTCTTGTTCAGGATCACTAGCCGAGTCGATCTAGCCATGCCCGTCTGTCTGTCCGTATGAACGCTGAGATCTCAGAAACTATAAAAGCTAGAAGATTGACATTTTGCATGTAGATTTTAAGAGTTCCTAAGCAGCGCAAGTTTGTTTCAAAATGGTGCCACGCCCCCTCTGACGCCCACAAGCCAAAAGCTGTGGCCACAGTTTTGATTATATTATGAAAATTTTAATTGATATGTATTTGTTTCGTCAATAAATATCGATTGGCCTAATAAAAGTTTGCCACGCCCACTCTAACGCCCAAAAACCCATTAAACGCTTAAGCCTGGCTAGCGCTTACATTTCTGCCTTTCATGGCGCCATCTAACGGATGACTTTGGAACAGCTGGCCAAGGTGCTCAACAGAGTCAACGTTAATTCTCGATAAGGATTTCTATTAAAGGAAATTGCGATGGTTTTCATTTGTCAATACTCAACTATATCCCAAGAACTGTGCAAATCAAATTAAGTTAGCCAAATTGGAGGTCGTATGGCGTATGTGTGTATGTAAGCATATACATATGTATGTATTTACATTGTACACAGTTGCAATTCCCCGGCAAAGATAACTCCTTTCAAAGAAAGCTATTCGCTATACCCGTTACTGGTGTTGTGCAAACATTTAGACTTTAATATACATAATACTATTTAAGAATGTATGTGTTTAGCCAATATAAGTATGTATGTTTAATATTTCTAGTCAATTTATTGCACTGAAAAACATAAACATAAACACAGCTGCTGGTGCAGGACAAAAGCTGCCTGCGCTAAAGCAGCGCTGGTGCTGATGCTCGTGCTGTATAGCTGCCAGCAGTAAGAGATCGCCGAATTCAAATTGATAATTTGAACTTTTTGTCCTTTTTTCTGTGGTCACTATAATTCACATTATGTTAAAAAAAAAAAAAAAAAAAAACATGAAGGAAGTTGTTTAGCTGAGGAACGGGTATCTAATAGTCGAGGCACTCGACTATAGCGTTCTCTCTTGTTTTAAACTGGAAAATCGGGCACCAACGGGCCGATTTATTTTCACCAATTAGTCCAAAAAGAAGTAAAAAATGAATGTTGTAGCCATAATTTCGTAACTATTGTTATAGTGTGAACGAAGCGTTAATAACGCGTTTCAATTTAATTTTTCAACGACAGTTTTATTAGCTAAGACGTTTTAGCTATTGATTTTTAGTTTTTTCTCCTGAGCTAGCTGATTTTCCAGAAAGTGATAAATCAAAGCTCATGCTGAAGGAGCTGTACAAGTAAAATGATTCCAGGTCATTGAAACAGCGTTTAGATTTAGAGGCAAACTTAAATTTCGATTTTCGAAGGAGATTCAAATAAAGCAAGGCTGTAAACAGGCTAAACTAGGGCATTGTACACCATCAGACCTTATTTCCTAAGTTAGTTCGATTAGCTTGTCTTAAAATGAAAAAAAAATGATACACAACTTGCTTAACGTCGTTCTTTCACATTGCTAAGCGTTTTATAACAAATGAGCATATAACAACTATATAATAATAAATCGTTGAGAAAACTACTTTAGTATTACATTTCGGCTGGCCGAAAGTATATAATGATTTAAATTATAGATCGTAATTTTCCTTTATTTACTTACATGATTTTTGTTACATTTGGGATGAACTCGGCGACACCACCATTACAACGCTTTTTTCAACATACCCCTAATGTTGCATGACTTTAACAATTTTTTATTTAAATAACAGCAGAAAAATCAATCGCTGGCTATTAATCCATTTCTAGCAAATAATGGGGATAAAAACATCATTCACAACAAAAAAAGACCGCGACTGCAAACAATCAGCGACTCATATGAACATTTTCAAAGGCAGCCAAGCGAAATTCAAGCCTACCGTTCAGAAAGAATTAATGTCAACAGAGCTGGCTCTGTGTTCGACTCGGGTAACTCACAAACAACATCAGCAGAGCAAATGCAAATTTTCAACAATGCCGCAAAAACTAGCAGCACAAAGACAAAATATTATGAACGAGTCCTAATATCTAATGAATTACGGCACCAGATGTCTCGATTAGGTTCTTTAACCGCCATCGATAATTTGCCGTCCGTGATTTCTTCAAACGTCCTGATAGGTTCTCCGTCAGATGAGGCCTATGATTGTCTAGTGGTACGACATCCGATTCGCCTGCCATTGCGAAAACATCACACCTTCCATTTCCAAAGCTCACAGACAGCAAACGGTAAGCTACAACAGCTGCGGGAGCAAATGCAACTTCAGCTCCGAGGAAGTCAGAAGTTCGACCAGGATGAGATTCCTTCGGTGCTTAGCCCTCTAGAATTAAATGAACAGCACGCCTTCAAGCCGATTTCACCCACACCTACAATGATAACTCCGGTAGATCAGAAGCCAAGGGATGAGAGTCAAATTGACCTTCTGGTTTTACAACCTGAGTGCGGACATCATGTTAAAGGGGCAGACGATGATGAAGACCTTGGGTACAGTTTCTGTGAAGAAGAATCCATGGTAGACGACGATAACTATCCCACCTCGGACAATCTTAATACTGCCCCGACCAACAGCTCCAGTACTTCAAAAGCTATAGAAAACGCAACTGCAGGTGCCCTTAAATACTTTATGTCGCAAAGCTGTTGTGAAGTACACATTTAGATATAAAATAAATTCGAAAGGAAACAAGCCTAAGTGACGCAACAAGGTATTTTGTATTAATTATATTAAGTATTTAAAAAACACAATTTAAATAAAACTATTTTTACCTAAAAACAAAACCAAAACTTTTAAAAATTGTCAATAAAACAATACAAACTAAAAGTAAAAAAAGTATTAGTTTTAGATTTAATATTTATGAGTTAAGATTTCTTTACACACCTAGAATGAAATTATTTTCAGTATAAATCTGAAAAAGGCCTTAGGAAATTAAAAAAATATGAATTTTAATGCGTGAAGGTCATGGACAAACTCTGTAAAACTCTGTTTTTATTAACTGGTAGTATTGTTATTCAAGAATGAGTATTTTTACGGAAAAATTCAAATTTCGTTATAAGCTATAAAGCAGCTAAAATTCACACATCATAATCTGAGCGTCAAACAACGTAACAAGTCAAACGCGAAAAGTCAAGTCAAAAGTGCATAAACGATAACTAAAAAAGTTATAAGTCTGTTTCCGTGAAATTTAGAAAGATTCTCTTCAATACTATTACTATGTATTTAGCTCTATGAAAAATTGTGTTTCATAATTTTGAGATTATTTCAGAGCCCCTGCAAATCTTTCCTGATTAAATATTAAAAAAAAAAATAAATAAACAAATATATAAGATACACCATTTATAATTCCATTTCTTATCACAGAACAAAATAGCTGAAATTAAATGAACATTTCGAGCGTTAGCTTAAATTTTGGTTTTTGCGTTATCTTTTCGAATGGATCGAAATCAAAAAAATATAAAACTTCATATTACTATAAAAACTTTATCGAAACAGGATGTGAGTCCCGGTCCCAAATGCAAAGACAGTTACTCCCTTGACCAAACCTAAAATACTACAAATTATTAATGTTTAAATAAAAAGGATTACATTTAGTTATTAACTATTTAAATATATATATATATATATATAATATATATTTGTAAAGTCTGGAGTAAAAATTAAATTTTTTCAGCTAATAACTATTTATTTATAACATTAACCACACCTACGTTAAAGTATTTGAAAAGAAAGGGGCAGGTGTTTTTGGGGTTAAGGAGATATTTGTTATCGCCAATTGTTTTGCTTCATTTTTCATGAATGAATTCCTTTTCGATTATTCAAAAGATTTCCCTTCATTCCATGAAAAAATTCCTTTTAGATTAGTAAAAAACATTTCAAAAACCTCGGTGCTCGACAGTTATTTTAAGTACCATCGTGAGACCTTGTAAATATGGTTGGTCAAATCAATATATCAAGAATGGTATGCCAAATTTTTGAATGGAGTTTATTTATTCAGCTAATGAAATTATGCGAATAAGTTTGGAAGCCTTGGCACTGCCTATTTTTTTGTTCAATTTCTATAAACGTGAAACATTTTCTTTTTTGATACCCTTGTATTATATTATTGGAATGCATTTTTTTTCTCATGTCTGTCCGATTATACACAAAACAGTCTCCCAGTTTTTAGCCCACTAAAGTAAAACTTTTCCAAATGTTTCCTGACTATTGCAGGTATAGAAAATAGAATAAAAATTATAAAATGGGATTTAAAAAATTTTCTTCAAAACAATTTTTTTTAATATAAGTTTTTTATTTAAACATCAACCACTAATTATTTACTGGATAAGTTTGAACTAAATATGTGATAGGTACTTTTAAATACAACATACATACTAGGAGCATTTTTTTAAAATTCTTTTCGTTGATTTGAATAATAAGCCAATTTTGCAAAATTATTGTAGTTCTCGTTGTATTTCAAAAGTTGAGTAAATTTAATTGGTAAAAATATTACAATATATGTTTAAAAAATTAACTTTTGGCTATATTTTGGTGTTTTTTTATTTTAACTTATTCTGTTTATTATGCTTATTTAAATCAATAGAACGAAGTTATCAAACTACTAAGTTTTTAAGATACTTGCTGATATCTGGCTCGCTTTTTTGTAAGGAATAAAACTATTTTGGGACAATAAAAATCATTTTTGGAATCTAAAATAAATTAATAAGCTATTGTAAAACCGAAAAGAAAAGGTACAAACATTTGTATTTTGAAATATACCAAAATATATTGTTTTGAAGGAAGTCGGGTATCGCTTAACGCATATTTTTAACAAGAATACAACTAGGCTCAAAAACTGCCATAAATACCCTGCAGTACCGTTCATCACCTTTTAATCGATGAAGCATCACCAAAAATTATTCACTGCTGACGATGAATTACTGATTAAAGAGTGATGAATTACTGATTAAACAGTGATGAATTACTGATTAAAGAGTGATGAATACATCGCATTTTCATCAGTAATACATCACATTTTCATCAGTAATTCATCATTCGATCTGTTCTCTCAAATGCAAGTGCATGTAAAAACCGCGAAAACAACTTCAAAGCAGGGTATATAAAAGCATATCCGACTATGCAAAATATTCACATAACTTAAATTCACTAAAAAAGGGAATCCATACCTTTCATAGCGATCATAATCATTTTATTTTTAAAAAGTATTTTCATAAAATAATATAATTAATAAGAATCGACGACTACAATACAAAAATTATGCTAATTTAATTTCAAGGGTGTATAAAAGTCATTGTGATTTTAATACATTGTGCTCCACCTCTCAGCTCATTTTATGGGGAGAGAGACAGAGTAAGAGAGGGAGATGGAAATTTTTCTGCTTTTCCTACGATCGGCGACTGAGAGTTTCGGCTCTGCCCATGATACAATAACATATGTGTTAACATATATGTTATTGTATCGTGTACCGACTTTGCCTTTGGCTCTGCCGGCGTCGCAGTCCGCTGCTGATGAAAGGGCGATGCATTTTTGTAGTGATGAATTTCGGAACCGCAGGGTATAGTAGTCAACTTCGCACATTCTCCGGGTGCTCATCGTCACTACGCGTACTGCCGTCCAATGTGCTTTGCAATATAAATAAAAGGGTATAAACATTTTGGCTTGCCAAAATTTAAAAAATTCTGACACTAAGAGAATTTATTTATTTAAAAATAAATATCATTTTACCTTATTTCTTAAATATCGTTTTTATCGACCAGTATTATTTAATAATCAAAGGTTATCATTTAATATATATTGCTTATAAAAGTTTATTGGTATAAAGACTTCATTTAGTATACATAAGAAACCTAGGAGATATTTAACATAGTCAGCCGATGAGTGTTAAGTTTGAAATTAATAATGTGGGGTGAAATACAAGCAATGTATTTTTTTTATAAAGGCTCTAAAATCTACTATTGCCTTTTAAGTAATAGAATGTAAAATATCCAAGTTAATATGTATTATTTCGATGTTAAAATAAAATAGAATCATTTCACGTCAAACGTGCCACCCACTTTTTTAAATAAAAAATTAAAAACAAAAATATGATTTTTTAAATAATAAAATTTATAATTTTTGTGTACAAGTATCCTACTTAGACGAACGACGCTGAAGTTTGCATTTTTGTTATTAAGCGTTGGACCGCTAGGTAATATATTTTGAAATGCTGAAAACTTGTTGTCCTGCATCGAAATATATCAATTTTTAATTTTAAAATCATGGGTGGAACGCTTGGTATGGAATGACTCAAGGGAGAGTTTAAGTTAAGAATAAAAACTTTACAAAATTCGTTTGGCGGCACAAATGCTTATATAGACACATAGTATAAAAAAGTAAAAACCAACAATCATTTACTGATAATTTTACAAAAAATAAATGAAATCAATTGTAATTTTTTAGCATCTTTCCGACTTTGAGGATCCTTACAAAAGCAGCAATACCTATATATTCTAAATTTTTATTTGAATAATTGTCCCATAACAAAGAGATATGTGTTTATTGACCCAGTAGAAAAAGGTAAATTTAATTTTTTTGTTAATTAATTGTTGTTAAATATTAAATTCCCATTTCGATTGTCCACTAAAAATATAAAAAATTGCTTTTACATGAGCGAGCACATTCCCAACACATGTTAAGCCTTAAAACTCATTATCAAAGTAATTCAAAACCAGACACAATTCGTTAGTCATTAGCATGAAAGGAGTTATGCATACCATGAGTACCATGCGTAACCCAAGTGCAGACTTTTTAAAACTATCTAACATTTATTATTTATCTTATTCATAAAACAGCCATTAAATACCGAAAGTTTTGATGATGAATTCATTTATGCTGATCTCGAGAGTCAACATTACGGACCCATCAATTACAAGGCGGCTTCATTATACTCCCAGGTAAAAAAAAACAAAAGGACGGGCGCTCTAGATGAGCTTAAATAAAATTCTGGCTTATGTCATAAGCTTTCGCAGTGCATTTTTAATTAAATATATATGGTTTGAAATGTATCATATTGTTCTTTATGATACTTTTTGAAAAAACGTTAAAAAAAATCAATTTAAAAAGAATAAAAACAAAATTAGTTCTGCAGGTTGTCAGTAAGTAAATTTATCAATCGAAAAATTTACAATCCTTTTTAGTCAATATTTTAAGCGTCAACGAGGTGTTATTTTTACGGTGATTTGAAAACATAAATTATACGTGTGTAACTATTAAATATTAATTTATTAAAAATCGTAAATTGTTTTCTTCATACCTCTAAGTTGCAAAGAATAATTTTACAATTACCATAACAAATATTTTGATTGGTATAATCATTTGTTTTTACAAGTGTAAGTATTTATTTTAAAATGAAAATAAAATGTAATAAAGTGTTCAGAAAAATGTAATTAAATAGATCGAAAGAAAGAAGCTTTGAATTAAGCTTGTATAAAAATAAAGGATAGCAATAAACCAAAATTTGTAAAACTGAAAAAAAAAATGTTTTGACACAAACTTCGGATTCGCCGACAAAAATTTTGGTAAATCAAATTGTTTATTATGCCAATAGTTTTGTGAAAAAGTAGAATTAAATAAGGTAAGATTAAATTAGACAAGGAAAGAATAAATCTAATTCTCAATGGGTTGGTGTTCTTATTTAATCCTTTTGTTGTTTCTGGCGGGTACCTTAGATAATATTTGTAATAAATTTCACAGCTTTTCAAACTAAAAAAATTGTTTTTTCCCAAATTGAATATCGCATATGCTCCCCCCAATACAATTTTAAAATGTACTTTTATTATATATACAATACATACGTAAAGATTTCTTTATTTTGCTAACTACTAACTTTTGTAGATCTCTAAAAATCGGATTCAATTTGACAACACTATTATTTTTAACAAAGGAACATAATACTGTTTTTTCGGCTGATTTCAATTAGGAATCGAACCATGGTATACAAAAATAATATTGCCCTCGTTTCCTTTTTTAAGTATTTTGAATTTAAGTCGTTATTTAAGTCGTTAAAAGATACTTAATAATGATAATAATAATATCCTTAAGTTATGGCCCAAGCTAAAAGTAATTAATAATGACTGCCTTTGCGTAATGGAGCAGAAGAGAGAAAAGGCTCAATAAGTGGTTTTCAGTCTGTTATTATATTCAGAAGTTCATGGAAGTAGGTCAGGGATTTTCATGGAAGACAAAAAATGGAAGAACCAAACAACCCAAGCAATAGCAGCTAAAGCTGAGTGCCAAACAAGGTAAGCAAATCTCCCTGAAATTTAGCAAATTTCTCCCTAATACCCCTAAAACTCCCTAGTGTTTTAAAAATAAATGTGTTTTTATACAAAAGCATGTGAAAACTTTTAACTTGAAAGGTTAAGCTCTATGAAAAATTTGGTTTCATAATTTTGAGATTATTTCAGAGCCCGGCCAAATCTTGACTGATTAAATATAAAAACAAAAAAGGGAAGCTAGCTTCGGGCGGAGCCGAAGTTGAAATACCCTTGAAATACCCTTTTATTCTCCAAAATTATTCATATGATGCATTCTTAACACTCATAAAAAATCCCAACTTCCTAATTTTAAAAACACCAAAGTTATGGCATTTCCAATCGTTCAGTTATATGGCAGCTATAGGATATAGTCGGCCGATCTTTATAAAATTTGGTAGGTCGGATTGATTGGCCAAACATAAAACCTATAGAAAATTTTAACTTCCTAACTTTAAAAACACCAAAGTTATAGCATTTCCGATCAATCAGTTATATGGCAGCTATAGGATATAGTCGGCCGGTCCCGGCCGTTCCGACTTATATACTGCGTGCAAAGGAAAGTAGGGTGTGTGCAAAGTTTTAATTCGATATCTTTAAAACTGAGAGACTAGTTTGCGTAGAAACAGACAGACGGACAGACGGACATGCTCATATCAACTCAGGAGGTGATCCTGATCAAGAATATATAAACTTTATAGGGTCGGAGATGTCTCCTTCTCTGCGTCGCACACTTTTGACCAAAATTATAGTTCCCCCTGCAAGGGTATAAAAAAACAAGAAAGGAAGCAAAGGCAAGCCGAAGTTTATATACATTACGATTTCTATGCCTGTATTACTAAAAACAATGAAGCTATGTTGATTTTCCGCTGCATTTTGCCATCGTTTCTATGGCAGCTATATGATTTTTGTATCCGATTTTAATTCAATTAAAACCGTAATCCATAATATTTAAACCAAATCCCAAAGAAGAAAAAAAATTAAAAACAAGAAAGGAAAGCTAACTTCGGGCCGAGCCGAAGTTGATATACCCTTGCAGAATATAAAACCCATAGAAAATCCCAACTTCCTAACTTTAAAAACACTAAAGTTATGGCATTTCCGATTAATCAGTTAAATGTCGGCTATAGGATATAGGTGGCCGATCCCTGTGAAATTTGGTAGGTTCCATTGATTGGCTAAAAATAAAATCCATAGAAAATCCCAACTTTCTAACTTTAAAAACACCAAAGTTATGGCATTTCCGATCGTTCAGTTATATGGCAGATATATGATATAGTCGCCCGATCCAGCTCGCTCCGACTTATATACTACCTGCGATAGAAAGGCAACCTTTGGGAAAGTTTCAAGCAGATAGCTTTAAAACTGAGGGACAGATGGACAGACGGACGGACAGACGGACGGACAGGCGGACGGACAGACGGACATGACTAGATCGACTCTTCTGGTGATGCTGATCAAGAATATATGTATATACTTTATAGGGTCGGAAATGTCTCCTTCACTGCGTTGCAAACTTTTGACTAAAATTATAATACCCTCTGCAAGGCTATAATGAATGAACAAATACATAATAACAAATTCGGAATTAACACTTTGCAAAAAAATATAAATATCCTTATTAACCAAAATAGTGATAACGCGAAATGTGACAGATAGGTCGGCTCCTTACAAGATTCAACTTAAAACTGAAACTTATAAACTACGGTGACGTTTATCAAACTTTCGATTGGGAGAATGAACGCGATTGATAAATTGAGAGTGTCCAAAATGAGAGCAATGTGCATGAGTGCGATCTAGATTTAAGCTGCGTCTGCAATTTTACAGTATTGGGGGATAAAAGCTTTTTAGAGTTTGGGTACATTTGTTTATAACGCAAAAGGATGTTTACATTAATTGGTCACTCGTGGGAGCCTATAATTTGGGGTTCATTCATTTGTTTATAACGCAAGAGGATGTTGATGCCGATGATTTATGGTTCTTTGTTTACTGTGACAAATGCGTAGTGTAAATGTGTTTATGTGGTAGATATGTGGGTGTAGATATGTTACTATATAAGATACACAATGTATAATTCCGTTCCTTAACACAAAACATAATGGCTGAAATTAAATTAACATTTCGAGAGATAGCTTTAATTTTTGTTTTTGCGTTATCGATCTTTTCGAATGGATCGAAATCAAGGTACTAAAGAAGTTACAAATAAAGTCGCCCAAATAAAAAAGTGTATAAACAAAAAAACTTTATATTACAATAAAAACCTTATCGAAATAGGATGTGAGTCCCTGTCCCATATGCAAAGACAGTATCTTACTCCCTTGACCAAACCTAAAATACTACAAATTATTAATGTTTATATAAAAAGGATTAAATTGAGTTATTAACAATTTAAATGTATTTTATTAGAAGTCAGCAAAAAATGTTATCAAATTTAAAACAAAAAGGCCTCTTTAAAATCTAAAAAGAACTACATTGATTTCAATGTTGTCATATTGATTTACGCATTACTTTAAAACATTTTTAACAAGGTTCCTGCCTCGTGACATATTCCATATATTTTCTCTTGTACTTTGGTTTTTCTTCCAATTGGGCGTTTATAATTCCCAAGTGCTGCTAGCGCTCCGTGGAGCAAGACCCACAAGTAAGAAACTAAAGGTTAAGGCTGAACTTTACTGGATCAGTTTTTATGCGTTTCCATTTGGCTAACAACTCATTTGTATACCCTTGCAGAGGGTATTATAATTTCAGTCAAAAGTTTGCAACGCAGTGAAGGAGACATTTCCGAACCTATAAAGTATATATATTCTTGATCAACATCACCAGGAGAGTCGATCTAGCCATTTCCGTCTGTCCGTCAGTCTGTCCGTTTCTACGCAAACTAGTCCCTCAGTTTTTAAGCTATCTGCTTTAAACTTTCCGAAAAGTTGTCTTTCTATTGCAGGTAGTATACAAGTCGGAACGAGCCGGATCAGCCGACTATATCCTATAGCTGCCATATAACTGAACGATCGGAAAGGCCATAACTTTGGTGTTTGTAAAGTTGGGAAGTTGGGATTTTCTGTGGGTTTTATGTTTGGGCAATCAATTCGACTTACCAATTTTCATAAGGATCGACCGACTATATCCTATAGCTGCCTTATTACTGAACGATCGGAAATGCCATAGCTTTGGTGTTTATACCCGTTACTCGTAGAGTAAAAGGGTATATTGTATTCGTGCAAAAGTATGTAACAGGTAGAAGGAAGCGTTTCCGACCCTATAAAGTATATATATTCTTGTTCAGGATCACTAGCCGAGTCGATCTAGCCATGCCCGTCTGTCTGTCCGTATGAACGCTGAGATCTCGGAAACTATAAAAGCTAGAAGATTGACATTTTGCATGTAGATTTTAAGAGTTCCTAAGCAGCGCAAGTTTGTTTAAAAATGGTGCCACGCCCCCTCTGACGCCCACAAGCCAAAAGCTGTGGCCACAGTTTTGATTATATTATGAAAATTTTAATTGATATGTATTTGTTTCGTCAATAAATATCGATTGGCCTAATAAAAGTTTGCCACG